GTAGTTCGAGAATGCTGCCTTGTGGTTATACTACTCTGCCTTGAGGTTTCAATTTATGGTTAGAACACTATATATGAGTTACATTATAGTTTGCAAGTGCCTGGTGGTTATACTACTCTGCCTTGTGGTTTTACTTATGCTTAGAACACTTGCAAGTGCCGCCTTGTGGTTTGAGAATGCTGACTTGTAGTTTGAGAATGCTGCCTTGTGGTTATACTACTCTGCCTTGTGGTTTTAATTATGCTTTGAACACTATATATGAGTTATATTATAGTTTGCAAGTGCCGCCTTGTAGTTTGAGAATGCTGCCTTGTAGTTTGGGAATGCTGCCTTGTGGTTTCAATTATGCTTAGAACACTATATATAAGTTACATTATAGTGCCGCCTTGTGGTTTGAGAATATCCCCTTGTAGTTTGAAAATGTTGCATTGTACTGTAATACTCTGCCTTGAGGTTTCAATTTATGCGTAGAACATTATATTTGAGTTGCATTATAGTTTGCAAGTGCCGCCTTGTGGTTTGAGAATACTGCCTTGTAGTTTGAGAATGCTGCCTTGTAGTTTGAGAATGCTGCCTTGTGGTTATACTACTCTGCCTTGTGGTTTTAATTATGCTTGGAACACTATATATGATTTATATTATAGTTTGCAAGTGCCGCCTTGTGGTTTGAGAATGCTGCCTTGTAGTTTGAGAATGCTGCCTTGTGGTTATACAACTCTGCCTTGAGGTTTCAATTCATGCTCAGAACACTATATATGAGTTACATTATAGTTTGCAAGTGCCGCTTTGTGGTTTGAGAATGCTGCCTTGTAGTTTGAGAATGCTGCCTTGTGGTTATACTACTCTGCCTTGAGGTTTCAATTTATGCTCAGAACATTTTACATGAGTTGCATTATAGTTTGCAAATGCCGCCTTGTAGTTTGAGAATGCTGCCTTGTAGTTCGAGAATGCTGCCTTGTGGTTATACTACTCTACCTTGAGGTTTCAATTTATGGTTAGAACACTATATATGAGTTACATTATAGTTTGCAAGTGCCGCCTTGTGGTTATACTACTCTGCCTTGTGGTTTTAATTATGCTTAGAACACTATATATGAGTTATATTAAAGTTTGCAAGTGCCGCCTTGTGGTTTGAGAATGCTGCCTTGTAGTTTGAGAATGCTGCCTTGTGGTTATACTACTCTGCCTTGTGGTTTTAATTATGCTTTGAACACTATATATGAGTTATATTATAGTTTGCAAGTGCCGCCTTGTAGTTTGAGAATGCTGCCTTGTAGTTTGGGAATGCTGCCTTGTGGTTTCAATTATGCTTAGAACACTATATATGAGTTACATTATAGTGCCGCCTTGTGGTTTGAGAATATCCCCTTGTAGTTTGAAAATGTTGCATTGTACTGTAATACTCTGCCTTGAGGTTTCAATTTATGCGTAGAACATTATATTTGAGTTGCATTATAGTTTGCAAGTGCCGCCTTGTGGTTTGAGAATATCGCCTTGTAGTTTGAGAATTTTTGCTTAGAACACTATATATGAGTTTTCATTATAGTTTTCAAAATCAAATTCGCAAAACGTGAAATATAATAGTGTTAAATATTAATTCCAGTACAGTATGTGTTCTTTTACTAACAGAAAATAGATTTCAGATTTCAGATTGAAGACCTTTATTGTATGTTCTTTACATTTGAATTTACAATTATGACATCACAATATACAGGTACATTGTACGGGTAAATTTTGAATTAAAAGAATTAATTATGATTTTACCTTTACCTGTATATTGTGATGTGTGTTAATGTACGAAAAACAGTCTACCTGATGTAGATTTTATTTTGTTTTTATTGCAAATACGTTCTTATTGCAATTATACATTATTTTTAACAACAAAACCCTTCTTATTTTCACCCTGAGTCTCATTTAAAATCTAAAGTTAGTTTTGTCTATCTGAAATGTTCCTTATCATGTCTCACAGTGCGCCAGAAGTACGACTTTTATAGGTCCCTAATGGCCCAGTCACATAGCCCGGCCGATGAAGTAACGATGAGCCAGCGATGCAATTTTCACCGAACTCGGCCGAACACCGGCCGGACACCGGCCGGACATCCGTGGCGTTTGTTGCTTAAAACCGCATCGGTGGTAGCTCGGTGAAATTTTAACTTCGGAGTTAAATTTCACCGGGCTCTCACCGAGCTCCCTCATCATGTCATCGCAGCCCCATCGTAACCACATCGGAAAACACGTCGGCCGGTGCACGGCCGAGTATCGGCCGGTGTCCCGTGCATCTGAGACAACCAGAGGGCGAGGTTTTTTAACGGACAGCGGCCGAGCTCTACCCTTTGTATTCGTTTGACTTCACTTCTTAAAAGAGAGCTTCGTCTTCTGTAGTTTAACTAGACTCTGCACGCAGGGTAGCCGAGCTCCGGCCGATGTGGGACAGAGCATCGGCCGGTCACTGTTCAAAGCCCGTTAACAACCCGGCCGGCGATCGCACGGTGACCTGTTACCTGCTCGGGTACCGGCCGTATTCCTTCCGATGTCCGGCCGACCTCCGGCCGGTAGTTGCTGCCACATCGGCAGAAAAAAACTACCATTTTGAGACAGACTCCGTACGGTCACCGGCCGGTGTTCGGTCGGTCGCCTGAAGATGTCCGGACGGAGTCCGTTCACGTCACCGAGCTCTGCTTCCGATGAGGAGAGCTCGGTGGCACCAAAAAAATCCACCGAGCTCTACCGATGCCGGACATCGGCCGGGCTATGTGACTAGGCCATTACACATGCCTACATCGGACCTGGTAATCTGACATTATCTTCGTAAATGCTCGCTCGAAAATCGAAATTTCCTTGAAAAGTCCAGGGTTTGATGATAGGGTGGTACTTCATTAACTCGCTAAATATAGTTTTATACCAGTGGGACGAAATACAAGTATCAATCCTTTAAAGTTTGTCCGAGAGAGAAATCTAAAACAATAGCAATGGTAATACTAGTTAGTTTTGTTATCTAGAAATTAAATCACAAAAGCTCAGTGACATTTGAGGTACAAAAACAATGTCGTGCATTATAAGAACAACAAGTCTGTCAACCACGGTTGTCTCCCGGTTATCTTGTTGATGAATGAATTTGCTTACTTAATGAATTAAAATGTGCATCTCTTAAAAGTGTATTAGGTATCCGGGATTAGGTATATGTTCTCTAAAGTGATAAGAAAATATGTATGCGCAAGGGCTCATACGAATCAGAGGAATTATGAAAGTATTTCAAATAAACACTCATGAATATGTTGGTCTGTCATGGCGGATTTTAACTAAGATATAAATGTACATTGGTTATGTATTAAGTTTCTACATAGTCGTATGTTATCGCAAATTGTACTGTTGTGCGAAGAGCGTGCAAAGAGATTTCAATAATTAGTCACAATGCGTGCAAAGACTTTTGTTACAGTCTTTACACGTCTATACACTGTGTACCAAGAGGTGTAAAGGCGTGTCAAGAGTTGAATTCGTCGCGTGCCAAGAGGTGTCAAAATTAGGAACGCCTATACACGCGGCGTGTCAAGAGCCGTATCTAGACGTGTCAAGTTTTGGAATTCCATTTTTCACGCAGTGTATTGGGCTCTTTTTAGGCTTTTTACGCAAGTATTAGGGAGTTTAAGCTTTCAATGTTTTTCACAACATAAACGTGAACGGAAACTATTAAGCGATGCATTTGTATGGGCGATCGGCCATGCAGTGTACGTATAGGTGGGCGTTTAGATTTTATATGCAAGCTTAAATTCACTATTATTGCAAGTGACGTATTAACTAAGCCCGACATTGTGGACATTACCTTTTTCAATGTTCATGTCTAACACGTATTTTTCATTTTTTAAATAATTTCGAATTGATTTTAACCATAGCTTAAAGACCCACTATACTTAATTTTGAAGAAAAAAGAAAAAAAATATGAAACAGAGTTTGGTTTGCATTAATATTGAACCAAGAAAAAAACTCACATAGAAAAAAGCATTTGAAGTTCAGAGATCATTAGACATGCATGCACATGCTAAACAAAGTGCATGTTTTAATTACTTTTGATTTAAAAGATGGCGACACTTCTATAAAATGAATGTATCATGTAATACAAACAACTTCGCCATCTTTCAATGACATTGATAAAAACTTGGTAATATATAAAGCCTGTAATTATTGTAAGCTTTGATGTGGTCCGTTTGAGCTGTTGTTGGTGTCAAATAAAAATAGGGTTCTTATCAATACATTGGACATTCTATAGAATTAAAATAAAGGTCTTTATTTTGCCAAAAAACATTGAAAGTACGCAAAGTGGGCCTTTAAAATTGGGATTAAAGGGTGAAATATACATTTGATTTGCTTCTTATAATACACCGATGACTTCATTCTTGAGTTGGAATTTGGTGAAATCGTCCAACAACAATAGAGTTTGATGATGACATTGTCAATGCCAGATCATATGATATTAAGGAAATACATTAATTGGCATTGTCATCATTTAGAATTAACAGGAAGCTGTTCTTACCGATGACATGCTTTAAATAAATATTAGTAACATAAAACGATATATTTATATGAATTATCATATGCGGAAGGAGGAAGCGATCGAGGAAATGGTATTTTGAAATTTTGAGTTTCACATGTCGAGGATCAGTACACCAAGTATAAACACAAGACACGACCCTTATTATGATGGTAGCCGATGTCGTGTTGGACCTAGAGACTATTTGTTTTTGTCTTTTTATTCTAGAGGGTACGATATCCAATCCGAACACAACGTGCCTGACCGTCTTGATATTAGGGAATAACTTTCACAGTCAAAATAGAGTTTGACGTAATTAATGACATTCACGATTGTAGTAGAAAACATTTATGGAAGTATTTCTGAATTTATTTTTAAGAAATATTGTTTCGATTGTTCAATCCTCGACATATCATAATTTCACTTCAGGCCACCATGCTGGAAAGATCTTCCCCATAGATGAGCATATACTTACCACATGCTGTCGCCGAGCCAGAACCATCATCGATATAACCCGCGCAGCAAGCACATGTCTTAAAAGCCTGGTTGCAGTAGGAGTGAGCGACCGTCCCACTGCATTCTATGTCGGATAAACATGCATCACCAATAACTCCAGCGTCTGGATTGAAATACATTATACAGTGTATCACAATATCATTGTTATACGTTAATCTAGACGTATTTAGATATACGTATACGTTTACGATTTACATAAACATATACTCATATTTAAAGCTTAAAATAAATTCCAACAAATAGGAAGTACTAGTAGCCTATATAACATCTTTTCTTACTTTGCTTTTGTTATATATTCCATTGTTTTGTCATTCCTTTGCTGGATTTTGAATTCCGATTTGCGATCTAGCTACTGCATCAAAGTAATATATCATATAGGTTAATAGATGCAAATAAATAAACATCATTTGCCAGTATTGCCGAGGAAAGTGCACACCTTGTCAATACTTACTCGCCAATGGAATAAACGATACAAGGACAATCAGGAACGAGTAATCCGATGTTAGAATGGACATCATTTGAACGATCCTGAATAAAAACGAAAAAATCATATAAGTTTTACATTTTGCTTATTAATCATGTTCAGAAAACTTTTTTTTATCGCCATTTCGATCAAAAATACACCTATTTAACATATTATAATAAGGTCTATAGCTTTTAGACTATTTTCATTGAAATTCCGTAATTAATATTTACTCACCTACAACTTTATTGGTATCCAATTAGTTTTCTTTTAAAAGACGACTCCAAGAGAAGTCATCGTATAAATCACTTTTATTCAACACGGGGATTTCTTTGGATCCCTTTTCTCACAATGTATTCTTTGCATCTCTAGCGATGATATCTATGTGCAAATACGCCCAGTAGAAAATATATTTTTGTCAAACAAATACATCCAGTGAAACTGTTATTTGTTTTAATACTATACCAAACTTAGGTTGAATTTCAATTATGTTGATAATGGTAATTATCGGCACTCAAGTATTTGAAAAAGTCACGATCCTTAGATCCTTTGGCTATTTTTCATGAATAGCTGACTGAGGGGCGAAAGGGTTAATTTGTTTATGGGGAGAAAATTCTTTAAATATATCTCGAATCTATGTACATGTGTATCTGAGGGATTTACGAACCATTTTAGTTGTTTCAGCAATTCTAATCGAATTTGGACACACCCAATTGAAAAGTAAAGACCAAATTAATAATAATGGTGCTCTGCCTAAGTACATGTAAGTAGGTCAGTACGATGGCTATATATGGAAGCACATAAGTTGTAGCAGCTAGTACTGTAGAGAGGGAAGGCCTGGCTTAGTTTTCAATTAACAAAAGAGGTGATAAAGTGTCGACAGAAATTGTTGTCATCTATAAGTTTTGCACATGGAATAACGGGCCAGGATTTTCTTGATTAAGCTAATTACACCCCCTCTCGAATACGCCCAGGGCTGTACTGCTGTACTGGTCACTAAGCGAGAACTATTGTTAGACATTTGAATGAACGGTTATCTTGTAGTAATTGTAGTGAAACAATCATTTTTTCATAGTTTAACAAGGATATGGCGATTGTTAACATCTTCAAAACCATCGAATTCGATCATTGATTGTGTAAATGAATATCAGATATTGGACACATATATATAAACTACGACGAAGCTGTCTTATAAGAAGTGAAGTTGAACGAATGCAAAGGGACCGTAAATAGAAACTGTGTTTTTCTGTGTAATGGTACACCAACTCTGTTAGTTCTCCCCATACGTGGTAGTTACAGACGTTGGCATCGGGTAATCTGGGAGGGGGGCAGTGATTAGCCAATATGTCCTACACAGACGACTTGTTCCTGATCTCCTTTTTAGATCATTACATTTTCCATCAAGATGGGGCTCGAAGTCATAGATAGATAGAGGGCCATAACTGATCAAAATGGACGCCTCTTGAACATCTATTTCTGTTGACAAACATTGAAAATTTTTGAAAACCCGTTTTGAAAAGAAAATGACGTCATTTGTATTATGGACGCTCGTTGACATGTATTTTAATAAATCTAATTTTATGATATGTCAATTATTAAAGATCATTTAATTCCATCTCCAGTGGTATATAATATGACATGTTTTCATCAATAAAATCAATGTTTATTTTTGAAATACGAGTGTCCCATTTTTTGGACTACCCTGTAAACATTAATTAGGTGTTTCAAAAGAGGACGTCTAGTTGCCCCACGCTTGCATCGCGACTTCCAAGGTGTTAAGATACAAGCAACCGAAACCTTGTGAATCAAGATGAAACTTATGAGGGGAGTGTACAGAACGAAAAGAAATCATATTTTGCAAAGCGGCTACTGTTCTTTTATTGTTCAAAATAATTACAAACATTTACAGTTTTAAGATTTAACCATGTAATGGTTTAATGTAATTAAGAAGCAAAAGCCTTACATGTAACATTGTATAGATGTGAAAAATAATTCTTAAAACAACTAATCAAGAACATATGAAATATTTTATATAATTACAAATTCAAGACTGTTCTTCGTTGAGATTAACAATTTATGATGGAAGCTAAGATTCGATGTTCTGTTGAGGATTTATGGCACAAATATTTTTGTATTGCTTGAACTATCGAGGAAGTTTTGGCAATGTTTCCTTTATATTACTTTCCATTTTTAATTATTCATTGTGGTAAGTATCATTGTTTTGTCATAATCATTAGTATGTAAAAATTATTCAAATGATATAATTATAATAAAAATAATTTTAATAGATTGTCTATATGCACATGTTATTTACAATGTAATACAGTTTCTACTGCAACTAATCTATGTCCGAATCTCAATGTCCGTGTCCACTCAAACTTGGTATGACAAAATTAAATATGATAACGTAACACTATCAGAATGACTCATCAATTCCAGTTCGTTATTAAATATATATCCCCTGAATTGTGTTGCCGTTCATAGTTTCCATGCTTTTGGCCATTATGCCTTGTATACGATCTTCTCATTTGATGAAGAGTTCCCGAGTGACGTCAAACGCACACACATGTAAAGGGACACAACGACGGCAACCAGGAGAAGAGCAGCGAGTATGCCAACGGTTACAAGAAAACCTGTACTTTGGAGACAAGACTCACTAGTAACAGTGTTTTGGTTTCCACTAAGATTTCCTGAAAATGCACAAATGAAAATATCCAGAATCATATTTCAACAAAAGAGAAGCTATAAAGAAACAGAGATTAGTGCGTAATTATAATCTTATATATATTCGAACATGAATATTTCAACCGGTATTGATTCGCCCATACAATACCTGGACTGTACCAAGTGTTACGTTCAGTGCTAAACAGGAAGAAGGAAATGGGAATAAATGAAGTGACGACTTTGCAAAATTTTGGCGAGTTCCAATGTTTCAATCGTTATATTATACCCATCATATCAGGTATAGTTTCGAGTGATAAATACCGTATAGGGCTAGCTAGGCACAAAAAACTTACGAACCCCTCACTCTCTTTGGGTGTTCGGGGTACATAACACGTTTGTGCCTAGCCCTGTGGTATTTATTCGTCGATATAATACCTACTCTTCGGTCTGTATTTATTAATTATAATAAGTAAAATTCAAAAATGTAATGCTATTGCATTTAATGCAATTGTATTTCCCCAACTGGGGCATCAGCCTCAACATTATACGTATAGACATGCACTACCTATGTATTTACTGACGTCGTCCCCAGCCCCTATCACAGTGACTATCCCAGAGTTTGCTTTTACAGTTTCCTGGCCTGAGGTCTGACGACGTTTCCTTCCAAATCCAGCCGATGTTCCACCTCCAGAAGGCCCGCCTAATCCCGCTGTACAACCAGTCTAAAAACATGGAGAGTGATTATTAGTGGATGAGCTGGTGTTTTTGTCTTGAAGTAGAGCAAAATTATACATGGTTTTTTAGTATGCAATACCATGGTACTGTTTCTTGAAAGTAGACACCTATATTTTTAGAATCACAATGTCACAATTGGTTGAGTTGATATAAAGAAGTTATTTAACAGGTGAGATTTGATATTGGGAATATCACAAGGATCGATGATATCAATATTTCCCACGGGAACGCAGTGACAGAGGGCAAACCGCATCCGAGGGATATTCCTCATATCATCCCGACGGGTGAATGGCGACCTTATACCATGTTCAAGAGCAATATCTAACTGAGATCCTTTATTGAACGAAAGAAAATGTTTGTAAAAATGAATGAATTTTTTTTATTTTTGAAGAAATTCAAATTTTGAAAAAATGAAAGAATTTGTATCGAAATGGCGAACTTGATTGAGCACGTGTTTCTCTTAAACCAGTCATCAACAAATTTTGAAAAGTTTACACATCGTCAATCTAATGATCATCTTCTGAATGATAACAATTTAATTTGAAAAAAAACATATGTACTTTTCTCTATATTGTTTTAGATAACACATCAGATACTTCTTTTGTTCTCGGTATTATGCATCTTTAATCTGAACGTCATTGGAACAAAGTGACATACACACAACGTGTTTGTGTCTCTCAATATTTAAATTGTACAAAGGAAAGTTCGGTTCATTTGAGAAAAGTATATTGTTAATGGAATTAATTAAGGCATACTTTAATTTTTATCTATTTTTGGTTTTTGTTTTAATGTTGAATATTTTTTGTTAAATGAAGCAAATTTTATAAAGTATATCTTTATAAATGATCATTATTCAATTTATGTTATCACTTATGTCTGCAAAATAATATGCAATGAAGAGAAAAACAGCAAGGAAACTTACGGCTGCGCAGTTTGCCGCTGTTGACGCATCACAGAGTTTAATGTCACATTGGAAATAAAGTTGTGCCTTGTCCACAAACTTGAACGCAATGAATTTCATTGTAAAGTCACCACCAGTGAGGTCCAGTGGATCGGCTTCAAATATAGCTGTGTTGTCACCATCCGCGCACCTAAAAATGTACTTCATTACTGTATAACATGGACAACAATACTGTAAGTGATGCATTTCCCTCGGATTTTAAAATCCTCTGTCAGCAAGTTTATCAACGATAGCCGCTTTTGGACAACGTTAAAGATTGTTTATGTACTTTGGCGATTTCTTACGTGGACCCTTTTTGGAAATTTTTAAAATCGGTACAAACACTCATAATACTTACCCTGTAGTCATTAAATTGATAGATTTCTCATTTCCAGTAGGGACCGCTAAAAACGGTTCATCCTGAGCTACACATGATTCTACCAGGAACGATGTATATTCTGGAAAGTAGCAACTATATTTTATTATTTTAAATCCTCATTTTCTTAAAGTCCATGAGAACAAAGTACACCGCGTCAAAGATTTAACCATTTTCAACGATAAATTCGAATATCCGAATTGAATGCTTAAAGTCTGTGATAAATAAAATAAAAAGGTATTAGATGAAGATAAATGATATGGATCAAAAATCATTTGCTTCCTCCCTTGCACGAATGAAGTTTATGGTCATGTGTGTCAGTCTGTTAAGTAACATTCGGAATTGCAATTCTAAAAGAATGTTAATTCCCATGGAAAATACATACTAGCATTTGTAGCGAGTTTGATGTGCAGTCTCAGTGGAGTTGATACTGTAACGGGTGCTGCAAGTGGGGTGCCTAAAGCAGCGCTCTGGTCTTCTATTGTAAATGTTACTGGAGAGAATGGCTGGGCGTTACTGCCGCCCTGGGATTGGTCACTAGATAAAGACGTACAATTACAAACATAAATCAGTTAGTTGATTATATCCCAAAGAGAAAAATAGAAATATTATCAACCTAGGATGATGCATTTTTCCCTGATTTAACCCATTGGATTGGACGAATAACCATTTCTGTGTTTGAGCAAACTAAAACTTACGTATTTGAATCGAGAGTTGAACCAAAATTTGTGAAGTAACTTGCAGCTCCTTTGTGAACGCATTGCAATGTGTGGATCTCATCCAAAGAGCTGTGATATAACGAGTTGTACTGAACGATTACCTTCAATTCGTATGTCGTGTCACCGGTCTATAACATGTATATAACGAAATGTGCTCTTAGATGTTGTTCAAGTAAACATAACAATTAATGTTTCTTGTGTAAAGCCCAACATACACCATCGAGTCTCATCGGGTCCCCCTCCCCTTGCCCAACAAAAACCCAGGACGTTCTATATGACGTCGTTGATTTTGCCCCATTTAGTCCCTTCGAGTCGCATTGAGCTCCATGGAAAGTTTGCTGCTATGATTTTGATCCAACAGGTCACCTAATACCGTGATACGTCACATGATCAAATGTCCCAGGATGCCCCATGGAAAAAATGAACATGTTCATTCACGATGGGGTTTGGCGGGACTCCATGGAACTTTGCCCTATCAACGTTTCAAGGAGTGTGGGTGTTTCAATGGATAAAGCCCAATGAAGTTCCACGCGCGGCAGGGTTAAGTGTGGAGGCCCCGCCGTGCCCCATTGGTGTATGCTAGGCTTTATTTTTCCATACGTAAAAGTATGAGCTGTGCAAAATATAACATTGATAGCCTCTATACTGAATATGGTGAATACTTTAAGTAATGAAATGTTTTCCAGAAAAGAGTCTTACATTTGGTGTATCCGTCTGCCTCCCAGTTACAGCATCAAAGCAGGGGTGCATTGCGCCAGTTTGGTCAACATTCAATGGATCGCTTGCAAGACCTAAGAAGTCACTAGCTGTTATAGCCCCACTCAATGTAAGCCCCTGGGCAGCAGTAATGCCTCCAGCAACGATGTCACAAACGCCATCTGTTTCGTGATCAAGAGCGTATACTTTCCCGTCAAAAGTGGCACTAGTCTCAGTATATGGGTTGGCAACTATTGTGATGGCAGCGGGGTCGTCACACACAGCGTATACTTTAACATACAATTAAACAGTGTATAACTATATATTGGAAATATCTCAGTCTACATACTCGGGTAAGGTGACTCCATTTGAAACACTGTTAATAAGGATTTAGGGACATGGCTCTGTGCTTTGTCTGTAATAAAAATTGTACTATCAGAAAGGTCACTGAACAATATAATTTGAAATTTCAGAATATGTGCCTAATATATTGCTTTAAAAATCGTAGCTTTTAAAATGTGAAAAATTGTCTGAAACAAAAATGGCGGTCATAAAAAAGAAAATAGATCGCTTTTCAAATCTTTTTTTCTATTTCATGGAATGAATATAGATATTCAAGGTCCCTATCCTTCAATTAGAAAAATGAATGATGTGCCATTATTCATTATGCTAATAAGTGCCTGTATACATGCAAATTATACTTACTTCTTGGTATTTCGCAATTAGTGCCATAGAACCCATTCTTACATAGAACCGTATATGTTCCTGACGACGCTACGTCATCCAAACAAAACTGGGACCCAGGTAAATATGCATCCGGGCAATTTGTGAAATCTGCTTCAATAGTTTTCACAGCTGAATCAACGTTACAACTGAACCCGTCTATTGTAGCTCCACCACAGTCAGCTGGACATTCGCCAGTTGTAAGATCACATACCGCACCATTTTCACAATCGCTATTCCTACGTCGACAATCAAATGTATTCACTGAAAAATATGAATATATATATGATAACAATGTTTTGCTTGTTAAGGTGCCATGGTACTTAACAGGAAATGACAAAACAGGAAGTGACAAAACTTTCTGCATTTTTAGACATTTTTGAAATCCTGAGTCAATTTAAGCGGTTCCACATTTCATTTACATAACCAGGATTACAATGTACATGGTCAGAATGACCTTAAACATTATGAAATAACTTTTTAGCCCTCTGAAAATGTTACTGAAAAAATAACTAAAGGTAGGAGCTTAGGAAAGGTCATTAACAGAATCTTTTGAGTTTTTCAGAAAATGTGCCCAATTTATTGCTCTAAAAAAATATTTAAAAATCTGATATCATTCGTAGAAAAATAAAAAATAAATTGAAAAGCGATCTATTTTCCTGTTTATGACCGCAATTTTTGTTTCAGACAATTTAGTAAAATGTCAAAGATTGTATCAGTCACCATGTACATTGAGATCCGTTTCATGTAAATGATATGTGGAACTAGTTAAAATGACTAGAGGTCAAAACAGAACTCTGTTATCTTTGTTCAAAAAATATCAAATACCCAGCATAGTTTTGTCACCATGGCACCATGGGAAATATGTAGAATAATTTTTTTATACTTTTTAGCATAAATAATCTGTATGAATTACAAGTTCGTAATTTTAATCATTTAAAATAAAGCATGCAAACGTAGATTCTCCAGGCTTGTCGATTTCTATTGTGGTTGACTTAGTGCAATCAGGCCAATGCGACTCCCAATATTAAAATATACAGGGTGAAACAAAAATAGTATCCTCTCATTTTTGTATAATACCGTTTCAACTATGATGAACGTTTTTTAAAAAGTCAACCATCTTGGCAAAAGCTGGCCACGGTCCCGAGTGGTCTACTTATGTTGCATCATCGATGATATGTATGTAAATATTAAAGTTATAATCAAAAAATGATTCAAATCAACCATATTGATAAATCTTTTATTAAAAAAAATCAATGAAACCTATAAAGATTCTCCCAGATAACGAACGTATTTTGTTTCGTGTACTCGAGATGATAAGATGTACTATGCAGATTAACGTGCATTGCTTAAACACATACCACAGGATGTAGTTCCAACATTCCGGTATCCAGGGACGCATTTACAGACTCCCAAGGCCTGGGAGCATATAGAGTCCGCGACAGTGCATTCTGTGTTATCTACGCAAGCGACATCTAAGTCCAATGCAGCTGCAAATTAACAAGAATATTTAGTCCCACTGTGGCGGTAATAATTGAGGAATATGGATCGAAATTAAAGTAGCAATGTTTTTTTCTGAACAAAGTATTGTATTCTATGGACTATCTAGACGATGGTGTTACGAATGGATATTTGGGTTAAGACAGTTTCATGTACTTCGTGACATCGTTTCAAGAAAAATATATCGTGTATGACATCATATATCTAGACCTTTATCTCAATCAATAAATGAATTGGCTAGAATGTCACATACCCGAAAGACCACATAGGATCCAAATAGAGGCAATGAACAGCAAATTCATATTGTATTTTTAAATCTGAAATAAAACATTTGCATTTTACAAATACTATTTAGTATTGTATAAAAGGAACCTATATGATGTACATCTACTTACTTTAGAAATATTTAAATGTTTAACACAATCAATTTCTTTATTTTATCCGAATTACTTGTAAATGAATAAACAAAAAAACCTTTTGACTAGAAATGTAAATAGATTCCAATCCTGTGATATTATATCTTTATCTTTATGATTTAGAAGAATTGATTTAATTACCTGCCTTAAAATATTCTTATCTCAGTGACATAAACATTCTTTCTTGAAACTGATTTTTTCAAATAGCGGCCCAAATTGTAACAAAAACGCAAGTCTCAAACGATTGTTACCCTACTATCACACCAAACTAGTTCTCACTACGTTCTCAAAAACTGGCTTCAACTGTGTACGAACGGACTGGACCTACTAAGAACCGTTTGGGATCCCTTAACAAACTTCATCGAACGTACTCGAACGGGTAGGTCCTCTAGAACTTAGACAATGCTCAAAATGTTCTCGTGGTCGTCACCTTCTACAATTAGAACGAGTGACAACGTACTAACGACGAGCTGGACGTACTACGAACGGAACCGTCGTACTTCAATCCTACTAGGGACGTTTTAACAACGAGTTGAATTGTCTGAGGACGTGTTGAGAACGAGGTAGAACTAATTGCAAACGGGTTTAAACTGATTGAGAACGTATTTAACACTGCTTATGAACGAGTTAGCAAAAATATAGCTATCACACCAAACAAGTTGCCACTGCGTTCTTCAAAACTTCGTGCGAACGGAATGAACGTAGCTGCAACTTTCTAAGGTCTATTTACGAACTTTATGATCGTTCTCAGACGGGAATGTGATTTTAGAATTTTGAATCGATTCAAAATTCGATGGCGACCATAACGTTCTGTAATCAGGTCATGTTGACCTTCTAGACTAAGGGACGCGTTCTTCTACGTTGCACACCGACGTGGTGCGACCTGAACGAACTGCGAACGAGAAGGACGTATTGAAGACTGTTTAAGAACGAAGAAGCTAATTATTTCAGACATATTTCCCGACCACAGCCAGATTGAGCCCGTTTTACGACGTTTTCGTAGGACTGGCAAGAACGGGTAAGAACGAGTTTGGTGTGATAGGGGGGTTAATAAATAAACTTGTATACAAACTTTAATATTATTGTTTATTGTTTCTTTTATTCCCGAAAATTAATCGGAGCAACAAACATAATAATTACAATACAGTTACTTTATACAATAGAGAATAATCATGAAATGTAAGAATAATATTTGCATTATTTTTTTCATTTTCCTGCAATCAAACCACTTATTCATCATTTTTGAATGTTTTCTAAAATTCATTGTAAATATAAAATTCTTCACAAAGTTTTGAGAATTACTCACCTTTGCATAGAAATAGTAAAGGAAACTTTTATTAAGTGTAGATCAGTACTCGATGATTACTGGAACAAAATTTGACAAACATTTAAAGTATTTATTGTTTTTAATAATATATATTGTTCTGAACAGATTCATGAAAGAAATTGAGTAATATTATGTATAACATATAATACTTACGCCAGTTGCGGTAAACTGTATTCGTCAAACTCACCTCGATCGACTGCCTTGAATATCACGGTCTAAGATACGAGACACGCCTTATTCCCACAAAACAATGTTTGTTCACTTCTGAAACAAAATTACTAGAACGTGATGTTCATCTATGTAAATATATCTTCATTTTTTATAGAATTAACCCTCTGTTTCGTTTTGTAAAGGTTTGAAGGACATTGATCATCATGCATGTTGTTAAACACTGAGAGTATGAATGATGTTTCTACGTAATTGCTGTTTAATTGTATTTTTCATTTTGTACCACCATCTTGGTAAATACGGTAAATCAAGTACAAAGAAGTTGTAATAAGTTGCGAAATATAATTATAATAGACGATATAAAAATCAAAAAAATATTTCATAACAAAATAATACAAAAATTATGATTATCATAAGGGGAGGGGAATATTTGAAGTTTTCTTAATCAAAGCGAATGATTAAATGTCAAGCGCATGCAGAATGATGTTTTCTCCGGTCAGAATAGCAAATAAAAAAAAGTTTCACAAATGGCACGGTTGCAATAAACTTTGGAATTTATTTAGTAAAATCTGAAACGAAAATAAATATTAGCGATATTTATAAAGCCATAAGTTCCTTTAATGTGAATGCAGAAGTTTATTTTTTGATTTACTGTATATAATCTATATTTTAACACATTTTAAATATTAAGATACTCCCCTCCATAAGTTTGGCAACCTTAGCTCCCCCACTGAACTACTTGTTAAAGCTTCTTTACCTATGGATCTTTATTTACTTAACCTGCAATGAAAATACTTATACTATTGATGGAAACGGAATTTGACTTTATTTCCAATACCTCCAAATTTTCTCAATTTTTTCCTCAATTACAATAAGTCGAAAATTGATGATAAATTTGATGAATTTTTGAAAACGTCCCAATGGACAAAGTTTTTAATAACGTTTTTCATGCTGGTAATTTATTGATATTTATGTTAGGGTTAATGCTAACGAAGTTGAAATATTCAAGAACCATGTAGACGTTTTGAATTACTAGTAACAGAAGATTAAACCAAAAGAGAACAAGGAAAATTTGCCTAAATTAAGTTTTTGATGCTGTATAAATTGATGCCCCACTTCATCGCATCGCATCACATCGTTCCAAAGAGATCATATAGAACTAATTGGATGAAAGGTTTTATATAACATGGGCATGTTTGAATGATGAACAAAAAATACTGTCACAGCATGCCGGGTGGGCCAAGAAAAAAGAAATTGGGCCCAACAATTTTGTAAGGCCTCAACGAGTGGGCCTTTTTGGGCATTTACAAGGCCAATTATGAAATTATTTAATTCTTCGCAATCATTTTCGGATTTTAAATCTACCTCCATCCTTGTTAGCTTCTGGATCCGCCAGTGCATCTTTATTTCTCTTCTTACTATAAATGAATAAACACAAGGAGCACACGCGTCTCGAACTCGCAACCTCGTGGTTACGGCGCCCAATCGCCTAGCCTGAACGTGCTGGCGCCAAAGTCCTCTCAGCCAACTCAGTCAAGTCAAGTCAGTCTGTCTCTCTTTCTGGATATCTCCTCCTAAACCAGTCAAACTACTCCTTTGCTACTCATAATTGGGTACTCTTAAAGGTCAAGATAAACGTTTATCAGTTTTAGGTCATTCCAAGGTCAAATGTCAATATCTAGATATTTGGCGTTTTAAGGACCTATGTAGCTGTTGTGACTCTTGACGACCTATGATCAGGAAACTTGAGGTCAACTTTTAAATGGGTCAAGGTAATTTTAAGGTGAAAAGGTCAATATTTAAGTGTTTGGCTTTTAGAGACCCTTGGCGTTGATGTGGTCTTTGACAACCAATTTTTAAGGTGACGTTAGGTCAAAGTTACATTTTGTGGTTACATGATATTCTGTTTAACTCGAACGGGTAGATTGATAGTGACATGTAAAGACTTTAAAATTAATATATGCCAATGTGAGAACATTTATTTACGATAGCATATGTCGTAACAGAATTGTTGCTTACAGGTTTTTAAAATTATGTGATATTAAATGTGCAAGTTATTTCTTTCAAATTCTTTCATGATTTTCTTCATCAGTTTCTTGTTTTATGGACAGCGACTTCGGCTTTTCGATGTATGTTGAGCTTTTTGACATCATTGATGTCAAGTACAGTACAAGTTAAGGTCGTTTTTTGTAAGTCATACTCCGAGATGTTGGAAGTGCCTTCTCTTAAACTGGTTGTGCTTCTACATCTTTACTTTCCTTAAAATTGTGTTTTATAATGGCCTTTGGTACTTCCATTTCGGCATATTTCCCTATAATTCTGGTTGAGTTTATATCTATTTGAGATATCTCTCCTTTCTCTTAGTCAAAAATCTTTATCGTTGGCTTTTTCCTTTCTCGCATATGGAATACTAGTACAGTTAAGAATACCATATGAACATTCTTTAGAGTTTCTCAATATTACATGTATGTATTTGATATCTAGATTCCAAATTTTCTCGTAATCATGTATCAAGATTTGCACTTATACACCAATATCATTGCTATTGCAACCAAAGTAAACAGTGTTACAAAAACTATAACAACAGCATAGAATATAAAACTTCCCATGCATCTTTTCATTGTCAAGTCTGTTCTTGTGTATTGTGTGACACTTGTGTCATCTGAAACAAATAATTGCATATATTTATAAAGGATATGTTATCACGATTTCTGTAAGTTTTGTAGATGTTTAAACCACCAGTTGACAAACTTGAGAAAACGCAAGTAAGTTCCCTATTTAGATATTCAAGAGACAAGTTTCTCAGAGTTTCAAGTCCATTATCTAGTTCACTGTACCTGAGTATGGACCTTTGATGAAATGTGAAATATCAGTCACTGTTATAAGTGTGGATGCAGCATATGGCGCATGCTCTGAATGATCTTTACTTAATGTTTGTCTGCGTTTTCTTCCATATCCTTGGTCTGATACAGTTCCCCCTAAACCACTCCGACAGGTTATCTACAAAACGAAAATTAAAACTTATATTCAATTGTTTTTGTTATACTAACTTACGTTCTTGCGATTTATATAGGTTACTTGCTATTTCTATTCTCTTATGGTACGAAGATGTCACCATGATGTTTTTAATTCTTTAGGGTACCAGCAATATTAAATCGTATCCCGGATTTAATCGATCCTTAACCAAACACAATCTTCTTTATTAATAAAAAATTTACAAAATGGACGTACAGGATCGCATACGTTACTTGTAGGCTTGCAAAGGATTAATTCACATAAAAACCAAACGTTTGCTGTGTCAAAGCGGAACGCCCGGAGTGTCAGTTCCGTCACTTGAAGCGTCTTCGACAGCGGATTCTTAAAATTGACGTCAACAGCGGCAGGATCGGCACATCTACATTCACAAAAAACAAAATTATTTTTTGATTATAATAATGTGAAATTTTACAATCGTAGTTTATTAAGCAAGTGATCTAGTGTTATAATATACAAGGGTCGATCCAGATATTCTGATAAAAATGCTCTCATTTCTTTATTTTTGGAAGTTATTACTTGTAATTTGGACAGACAAAAGATAATTTATTTTGGCAAAATATATAAAAATATAAATTTTATTCCTTCATAACTCTCTTCACGGGAGAACTTTTTCGTTGCCATGGTAACGGCACCTGGGACAATAAAACTAGAATAAAAAATTCACTACAAAATCAAGAGTCTCACAGACTGATTAAATCAACTATTATGTCCTTTATGTACGCATGCGATCAAAATAATGTCCTTGTGCAGCCACACATCGTCTATGTCTATCAACCCAGCGCGTATATACATCATTGCAGTCAGGGAAGTTGGTGTGCAGGGAACGCATAACTGCCTGTTTCATCTCATTGACATCATGAAAACGCCTGCCTTTGAGGTCACTCTTCAGTTTCCCAAAAATCGCAAAATCCAATGGCGCTAAATCAGAGGAATATGGGGGATGACCAAGCAGCTCCATACCCAATGCTCTCTCTGATAGCAGTTTGCACACATTCACTTCGGTGAGATGGGGCAATATCGTGGTGGAGGATGAAGTCAGTCAGATCTCTGTCAGGGCGATGTTTATTCACGGCTTTTCTCGGATTTGACAAAACTTGCTCAAGTGATTTGATTTGAGCCAGCTTCTATTTGCTCACAATGGACAATTGTCTGTTGTGATGTCACAAAACACTTAATTGATTGTAGGTGCACCTGCTAAAATGCTAATTGAAGAATATTTGACTCTAAAATGAGTCATAATGGATATAAAAGTATGTAAAGACAAAATATGAAGAGACGGAAAAGCTACTTGTCCCAGGTCGCGTTTCCATGGTTACCAATTTTTTACCCTAGCAACGCATTAGTGCCCGTATGTTGACTAAACTTACATATTTTATGAGCAATTAAATTATCCTCATTTTGTGCAAGTTTGATGTTATAACTCCCAAAAATAAAAAATTGAGAGCATTTTTATCAGAATATCTGGATCGACCCTTGTATATGGGTCACATACCCCGATGAGACCAATGACACTGAGAGCAATGATCCGGGAGGGTAGGAAGTTGACGGTGGGAGATTCTGGGCTGTACAGCTTTGAACAAAATAATCAGAGTATGCTGTAAAAGAAAACAATAACAGTTCCACAACAGAAATAAAAAAAAACAGAACAAAATGTAAATCGCCATGTTCCCACCGCACCTCGGTATTTAGTGTGTTCGACCGACGGATGCCGAGTGAACGAAAACGGTAACTCGCATCATCCATCGACAGCTTTTTAATTTTCTCTGAAAAATTGGTCACGATATCAGTTAGCTAATTGTCGTTTGAACGTAATTAAAGGCATTCGTATAATGTTATAATAAAAAAATGTTATAATTATAATTTGAACTCGACATGCCGTTAACTCAAAATATTTTCAAATATTTTTTAACAATGAACTTTTTTCAGAAAATAAGATTTGTTAAGATGTTGCTTATTTATATCTGATTTAACAACTGAGGTCTATATATTATAACATACCTGAAGTATTAAGTAGTTCAAGTTTTAGTTTTACTGTAATTCCAACAGCGACAGAACCAATAAGTGGTATTCCAAATTCATCAGTCGTAGACAATTCTATTGAACTTTGTAGTTGCGCACTGTTTAGTCCACCATCTTGACGATTTCTAAATATGAATGAGTACACTATTTGTAATCATAATTGGCACTGGTGCTGGGTCTACTACTTTTTGATTCTCGATCTCATTTGTCACAATGCACATTGCATTGGTTGGTGGCATTTACATTAAGTTTAGAACGGACATTGCATTTATACTACACCGACGCCGACTGCGGAAACATACATACGCAATACGCATTAATACACTCCTTTTAAAAAGCTTGAAACTACAAAATGTATTTCACCGCTGTTTATGTTGCTATTTCAAAATATCACACAAGTCATAATTAATTTCTGACCTTTTATAAAAAAAAGGGGGAATCTGGGTGTCAAGCTTTTAGATGAGGGTGTACTGCACTTACAGGCTGGTGATAGGGGAAGATGACGAGACCTGAGATGACGGCCCACTACTTGGATGAAGACATTGTATGGTGTAAATATCATCCAGAGAAGTTCTGTACAACTCGTATTGTACCACAACTTTTAGTTCAACTATAGATGTACTCGTCTGGAAAACATGCAAATACAGTATACCTACAGTTTCCTTCATATTAAGTTTGTCGACTATTTCAGACCCAATAATGAACGCGAGGACAAACATGAACAGGCTTTAGTACACAATTCAATGAAAGTCTGGGTTGCCAAACATTTGGAATTGGTGTATTCTTGAAATTGTAAAATTAAAATGTGTAGTTAAGAATTTCTTATTTTCGGCCTACATCGGCAAAAACTGAATATCTTGTGGAAAAATGAGAAAAAAAATTCAAACCTATTTCCTGACTTTAGAATAATGTTCTTGAAGATTTTGCAGATAACAAACCAAAAGGCTTTAACAGTACAATGACATGTTTTACAACATAACGGTAGGAGTCTACGAATTATGTGAGGATAACAGGAAAATAGAACTCACTGCACTGTCATATTGGTTTCCAGTTAACGGATCGAAGCAATCATAGGTGCTTATGAAATCCAACACATTAGTAGCTGACCCTTGAAACATTTGTGATGTTGGGAGATTGCTTGGATCAAATGCACATGATGCATCTCCCTCTTTGTTTTCTACGTATATTTTCCCGTTGAAATCCGAGTGTTGACCTGATGTTATATAGGGGTTCATCACAATCTGTATACCAGATGGGTCGCTGCAGTCAGCATACACTGCAGAAATGGAAGAATAAACAACTACATGAAAAAATTAAAACAATTTGTGACTGATTTAACAATAAGATTGTTCAACAAAAAAGTAACTTTTTCAAGGTTTATCAAATATCAAATAAAACTTTTCTTTCTGGTTCCTACCTCGATTGATACTGCAGTCGTTGCCATAGAAATCCACTTTACAAATACAATTAATGTCAACGCCATCAACTTCACAGGCAAGTGTCCCATCACTGCTGCACGGAATACTAGAACAAGGTGTCAAATCTGCCTGTCTGTTGGCTAGATTAAAGGTTAAATTCAAAGATGTCAGTAAGAGAAAGAGTAAATGCTAATGCCAGCCAATATACACCAATGGGGCAAAATCCCACTTGCCCCATCGAGTCCCAACTTGCAGTATTGTATTGTATTGTATTGTATCTTTTATTCCTCCACAAGGGAGAGCAAACATATAAAGTTACATCATTTTAATATACAAAAATTATAACTACAAAGGAACATATTTAAAAAAACAGTGCTTGAGTTCATTGCCAATATCATGATTATCGACATGTGATTTCTCATAGTGCAATGCTAGGTAAATACAAGGATCAGGATTTGATTACTTTAAAGTAACTGTCTAAATGAAAGAGAGATGTAGCACACTCGATGATGAATTGATCGTAAATATCATCATTTATGAAAATATCTACTCTACTACCGAGTATAGTTTGTTCAAAAATATCTTCAGAAGCTGATAACAGCTTAACGCTATCATTGACTGGCAAAATGTCAACTAAATGTTCAAGAAAATCTTTTTTTTTTAGACCCAGTGCCAAAAATTCGCGGGATTTCGCGGGACATCCACCTTAATTCGCGTGATTTCGCGGGACATTTAAGGGATTTGCGTGATTGCGCTAATAGGTCAAATTTTGATCAAATTCGCGGGATTTCGCGGGACCATTCGAGGGACAAAAACACTAATTGCGGGACAGTTAACAGGGTTACCACCAAAGACTTCATAAAGGGACAGATTTTTTTTAGACAAAGTGCCCTAAATTCGCGGGATTTTGCGGGATATACACCTAAATTTGTGGGATGTCGCAAGACATTTTTGAAAGGGATTTACGTGATTGGGGCTTAATGTAAAAGTTCTCAAATCAAACTTTCAGATACTGATTTATCAAATATAATGCACTTAACTTAAGTAAACCTCAACACAATTGCACACAATACGCATAGAAATATAATTAAACTACAGGGTGGTCAAAAATATGGAAACACTAATACCATTTTCCTCATATCTTTGTCATTTAAAAAAATAACTCCCTGATATTTTATACTTTTGTACATCATTCAATTTGCTTCCAGCCTATTTTATTTCACGACCATCAGATTGATAGTCACAATGTTACAGTACTCTAAAGAACATGCCCAGTGGCCACTATTGGGTTGTGAGGAAACTTGACTCATCGTCTAAAATGTCCCTACCTGTGGGGATATGGCAGAGATAGAGTATATGAGAATGACCTCAGGACAATTGCAAACCTCAAAAGTGAGATAATTTGTGTCATTCAGGCCATACCTGCTGAGGAATGCATTCGGCTCATTGACAACTGTGCTGTTTTGCTCTCAGCGCGATAATGGCCAAATCAGAAGCATGTTATTCTAAGTGCTGTAAAATTGTGTCTATCAGTCCAATGGTCATGAAATATGGTAGGGTCGTAGAAAAGTAATGATGTATAAATGTGTGAAATATCAGGGAGTAATTTCTTAAAGTGACAAAGATATAAGAAAAATGCAGGGTTTCAATTTTTGACCACCCTGTAGCAAAAAACCACGCTTTAGTTGTGAGTACCGTAATCCAACACGAAATTCAAAAATTCTGAACAATACTTTGCACTTATGGTGTTCGTGACCAACTATGAAACATTTACTTCCCCATAGTGTTACATATTAAAATGTACCTATTCATATTGGGGTTCGATAAATCTACATCAAATTATAGGGAGTCAGGTTTCTTTTCGAGATATCAGTGTTCATTTATTGGAACTCGCGTTTGCTAACATTTGCTCAGTTCTTAAATGAAGACCGTGACACGCGTAGTAAAAAGGCCAACGTTGGAACTATACGTGACATACATCCCTATTTTTGTAATTAAAATGAAAATTGCACTCTTCCTCTTTATTTTGATACCAAATAACGGCATACTAGGTACTTGAGAAGCCAACTATATGGTGTTATTTGGATCAAAATCACAGTTTTATAAATGGACTATATGCTCTTTTCAAAAGCAGTCTTCGATGATCTGATGCACTGGGAGCTTGGCAGCACTTTTCAAATTAGGTAAACTTTACTCCTCAAAGGCGCAGAAACTTAGCTTCTTATATCACAAGATCATCACAATTATTTAACCTCGGGGATGTTACAATTTTGAAAATTTGCGGAGGTCAAAGCCGACATTCGCGGGATTTCGCGGGACATTGCGGGACACGCGAATTAGCCAAATTTTGATCAAATTCGCGGGAAAATCCCGCCATTCGCGGGACACTTGACAGCTCTGCATCTTGTCCCTTCGAATCCCAACTTGCCCCATCGAATCCCACGAAGTCCCAGGTGACCTTGATGACTTTGCCCCATCGTGCCCCATGGAGTCTAATCAAGCCCCAAGGAATCCCGTCAAATCCCACCGTGTCCCATTGGTATATGTTGAGCTTCACACAACACGTCATATCATCGAAAATCCCACGATGCTCTATGGAAAGAATAAACATGTTCATTCTCGATGGGACAAGATGGGACTCCGTGGGATTTTGACCATCGAATCCCATCGAGTCCCACGTGAGGCCTCATGGGACTCATTCTGATACTCAGACCATCTCTGTAATGCACAGGATGTTCTGGAAAGGAAACTGAGAGAAGGCTGTGATCTCTCACGATGCATGGGACTCGATGGGGCAAAATCCGACGGAGTCCCAAGGAGTCCCACGGACTTCATGGGGCAAAATCCCAAAAGTCCCATGAGATCCCACGCAATGTTACGGTCTATGGAGGTCCCAACTTACCCCATTGGTGTATACTAGGCTTTAGATTGGATTTCATGAGCTGAATATATATTTACTAATTTCAAAAGGCTCACTGGCTCAACAATTACTTTTAAAACTAATGCGTATATTACTCCTGTCTAATTTTAAGGAAGTGGAATTTTACAGTTTTTACAAAAATTTGTAAATATGCAGCATGGAAATCAAATTCTTTGGAAGTTCTTAATTAGGATTTTCTTGAATTAAAAAAATAAGGTCAAATGATTATCATGACAAATATAGTCTATAAAATACAATTAAAAAAATAGAAGCATTTAGTTAGCGTTTCTAGACATTTAAATGTATTTATGAAAAAACGCTCATCCCATCAAATTTCTGAAAATTACAGAAAATATTCTCCAAACACACATTATGAGAACCTGTAGTTTCTATTTGTTTTAGACATTTAAATGTATTTATGAAAAAACGCTCATCCCATCAAATTTCTGAAAATTATAGAAAATATTCTCCAAACACATATTCAAAACAAATGAGAAACTGTAGTTTCTATTTGTTTTCAATTCCTAACAACAATTTTAAAATTCCAAAGTTTCTTTATTCGAGTTCATACTTGATATTTCTAAGAGAACTAAAGGATATCCAAGGATCTTTCCCGCAGTGTTCCTTTTTTTCTTGTCACATTTTCATGAGGTTTATATCGTCCATAATTTAAGTTACCATATAGTGTCAGTAGTCACAGAAATAATAGGTGGCCGAACAAACAACATATGGACTTTCATATTGGTATCACTAATCTGAGAGTAGTAATTTTGTATTAAAGTTACATGTTGTACCTAAAGTACTGTAAAACTGACACTTAACTGGCGTCCATTTTGAAACCGTCGGCCATTTTGAAAATCGGCTTCCGAGCAGACCAGGCATACGTTAAAATATAAACACTATTGGGTCAACGGTATTTATTGCCTCGAACTTTGTCCAGATAAAGTACTGACCTATTGTCACACTGCAGTCATACCCTGAGTATGCCGCAGGGCACGAGCACACAGCGCCAGACACAGTAAGGCTGCAGGTCCCTCCATTTTTACAACCACTGTTTCTACGCCGCCTGCAGTCAAACGCACTATCTAAAACATATACTTAAAATATAAAGATGTGGCTGTTATAAATCTGCTGCATTTTGGGTTAGTTTAAACATTAAAATTAAATGAACTAGATAAATGTATGTTTAAGGTAGCACGAAAAATCCTGCCAGTCTTGTCCAGATTTTTTGCTATCATTATTGTAGAGTTCTCACCTGTAAAATGGCAAACAGACAGCAAAAATATGATTAAATGTAAACCATTACATTTCAACAACTCCATTTTGAATATCGCTCGTTACAGAAAAAGTAGAATTTTTGAATAAAAAATATTCGATTTAGATATTTACAAATCTCTTAAGATAACCCACAAGGGTTTTAAATGTGGATTTATTTCATTACAAAGTTAGTTTGCAAAGGGAGAATATGTTTGTTTTCGATATCACTTTTTTAATTTTTCAAGACATTGTAGACAAAAGTATAAGAAGAATAAATTGACCTCATCACGAAGGACTTAACCCGCTTTACAGTTGAACCGTTCATTGTATATTCCAGTTGTACTGTAGTGCTACTCAAACACGCGAGTCAAATAATCAGTTTGACATGAATATCTCAAAAATCTTACCTTATTTTAGGGATGCGTGCAGGGTGCACATATTTCTGTTGAACTTTAGTTCAGAAATGCTCGATCGCGAGCTGCAAATTGCATCTATGCCTGCGTTTTCTTACGTTGGTTTACGTGATTCGTATATAAAGCTGGGAGTTTCATAATTCAAGCATCGGCCTACATGTTTACATGTACGTTACTCATGTGTTTAGCCAGGCATGTCAGTCAGCGGCAGAGGCATGGGGCAAGTAGGCAACTGCTTCACCCCAGTTTGACAGAAATAGAAATACACAATTTTTCAATTGAGATTTGTTCTACAGTTCAAACGTATTGTAACAAAATTTTGAATTTTTTATTTTTGATTTGGTGCTGTGAACTCATTTTTATACATTTATTACACTTGATTTGTGGTTTACATGTGAGATTATTAAGATTTAACAGCACTTAGGTTGTACTTACAGAGGTGAAATAGTTCGCATGTTTTATTTATTTGATCACGATTTTGTTTATGTTGATCGGGCAGTCTTATCTGGCAGTCTAATTTGTGGTTGATCGGTAGTCTAACATGGCAGCTTTATTATTTTACTTCCTGCTTTTGATTCTATCAAACCGAAGTAAAACTAGAGTAAGTAGCGATCAATTAATGTTAGATTTGTTGAGTCCTAATTATAATCTTGTTGTGTGATCAATATTAAAGCGGGATATGGCGTCAATAACTTGTTATTTAACTTTGAATTCTTGTTCGAAAAGTGATGACGTCACCAAGCCTATATAAGTATTTCGCCAATGTAAACTCCGCAGATTACGGCTAGCTTTCGTTCGGGACAGAGCTCCGTTCAATTTCATATTTTTATGTGAAGTTGGACTTAGTCGTTTTTCAAGGAAATATTTTTGGACTTTGACAACTTTCAGTCTAGAAAGTTGTTGGGACTTTGAATATTTCTCGAGGCAGATAGGAGATACATAGCTGCACTTCAGTTCAGTGGATGATAACTTGGACATCTACTTGTGATGAAGGATACCTGAGAGGGAAGACTACTACACCGTGATTCTGTAGATGATAACTTGGCCATCTACCCGTGTATTTGTGTAGAGGATACCTCAAGAGGGAATATTCAGTACCGTGTATGGAGGCAGCATCAAGCCTATATTTCTGAGCTCTGTCAGTTCAATTTCATGAACACATGAAATTGGACTTTGCGTATTTTTGAGATAGAAATTATTGAACTTAGTCAATATTTGGAGAAACATTATTTTGGACTTTGTTTGTTCTTGGAGAATAAATATTGAACTTAGAATATTTCAATATCAGTATAACTCAACATCAACTGAACTTAGTTATTTTCAAGGGCACACATTTTGACTTGTAATATTTTTGCCTATGTTGTTGTGTGCATGCTATATTTGTAGGTAGCCTGATTATTTAATTGTGAAGGAAGTAGGCTACTTAGCAGTTGATGCCATGTATTAGACGTTTTTGGACTTAGTAGTTGGAAGATTGTGATAGTTTAATTACAACACATTGAGGAGGATCCAGGAGATAGTCGTTTCCAGACTTGATAATTTGACTTAGATTATTTTACATAGTCAAAGTCGAATTATACTACAACACATAGAGGAGGATCCAGGAGATAGTCGTTTCCAGACTTTATAATTTGACTTAGATTATTTCACATAATCAAAGTTGAATTATCCTACAACACAGTGACGAGGATCCAGGAGATAGCCATTTACAGAGCCGATAGTTTGACTTTGATTATTTCATATAATTAAAGTTGAATTATCCTACAACACAGTGAGGAGGATCCAAGAGATAGCCATTTACAGAGCCGATAGTTTGACTTAGATTATTTTGCATAATCAAAGTTGAATTATCTTACAACACATTGAGGAGGATCCAGGAGATAGCCATTTACAGAGCCGATAGTTTGACTTAGATTATTTTGCATAATCAAAGTTGAATTATACTACAACACAGTGAGGAGGATCCAGGAGATAGCCATTTACAGAGCCGATAGTTTGACTTAGATTATTTTGCATAATCAAAGTTGAATTATACTACAACACAGTGACCAGGATCCAGGAGATAGCCATTTACAGAGCCGATAGTTTGACTTAGATTATTTCGCATAATCAAAGTTGAATTATACTACAACACCTTGAGGAGGATCCAGGAGATAGTCGTTTCCAGACTTGATAGTTTGACTTAGATTATTTCACATAATCAAAGTTGAATTATACTACAACACATTGAGGAGGATTCAGGAGATAGTCGTTTCCAGACTTGATAATTTGACTTAGATTATTTTACATAATCAAAGTTGAATTATACTACAACACATTGAGGAGGATCCAGGAGATAGTCGTTTCCAGACTTGATAGTTTGACTTGGATTATTTCACATAATCAAAGTTGAATTATCCTACAACACAGTGAGGAGGATCCAAGAGATAGCCATTTACAGAGCCGATAGTTTGACTTGGATTATTTTGCATAATCAAAGTTGAATTATCCTACAACACAGCGAGGAGGATCCAGGAGATAGCCATTTACAGAGCCGATAGTTTGACTTTGATTATAATATAATTAAAGTTGAATTATCCTACAACACAGTGAGGAGGATCCAAGAGATAGCCATTTACAGAGCTGATAGTTGGACTTTGATTATTTCATATAATTAAAGTTGAATTATCCTACAACACAGTGAGGAGGATCCAGGAGATAAACATTTACAGAGCCGATAGTTTGACTTTGGTTATAATATAATTAAAGTTGAATTATCCTACAACACAGTGAGGAGGATCCAAGAGATAGCCATTTACAGAGCCGATAGTTTGACTTGGATTATTTTGCATAATCAAAGTTGAATTATACTACAACACAGTGACGAGGATCCAGGAGATAGCCATTTACAGAGCCGATAATTTGACTTAGATTATTTCGCATAATCAAAGTTGAATTATACTACAACACAGTGACGAGGATCCAGGAGATAGCCATTTATAGAGCCGATAGTTTGACTTAGATTATTTTGCATAATCAAAGTTGAATTATACTACAACACAGTGGAGGATACTACAACAACGTGAAGAGAATCCATATTTTCATTGGAAGCAAGACACAAGACAGTTGCTGAGTTTACAGTGGATGGAACTGGATATCCCCTTCATCATCTTGGTCGTGGGTGGAATTTTATTTGTACTTTTATGTTTGATGTTAGTCATATGCTCCCAGGTGTGTATTAAGATTCAAAACGAAGAAGCGCCTGTTCCAGCAGTTCCAATACCCCCTACGCCAACCCCTGCTTTAAAATCCACACCAAGCTTCAGCATGAGTACTATGAATTTTGTGTAAAGTTGCTTCCCAAAATTAGGAGACAAGACTTTGTTACTCTCAGCTTACTATTCCAGGTTCAAGATACAATAACAATACAAGACGTACAAGTGGTACAATTTACATGAACTTTGCATATTCGGAATACAACAGTGTCATATAGTGATCATCAGTTTATATGGACTCTGGATATTATTTTATCAGTGATAATTACTATTAGCTCATATGGACTTTTGAGTTGTGAGTTTTGAGAGAAATAATAACACCGTAATATTCTTACATTACATTTGAAATTGCATGTACATCTTATTTGGGCTTATAAACGCCACAATATATTGTTTTATATTATATATATAAAATTGTATATTTTGTTTATTTCTTTAGGGACAAAGCACATTTAACGTGTGCCGTGCAATCCACAAGTAAACACCGTTTACTAAACAGTGGTCTTTTTATTAGCCACACTACCACATATCCACAAAAAAGGCCAAACTGTTACAGTATGTACCAAGCTGATTTTAGATCCTTGGCTAAATGTAGCCTACCTTTGGTTCTCTGTATCTTAACCTTGACGGGGATCCTCGGCTCACGTGGGTTACCATTTTTGACATTTCGACATACTGTATTTTAGGATTTGGTAGAGAAAATACCCCAAAATAAGGCTTTTTAGGTATGGCAATGTCAGATTTTTCCGCTTACTTGTAATACGTTACCTCCCCGACCTTGTGGGCTAGTACTGTACATGTAGTTACAATCTATCTTTAATTTGAGGTTGTTTTGGATCGTTTTCCTCAAAGATCTGCCCTCTCCGGGGGCATAAGACATTTTGAATGGCCTGTCCAGTAATTGGTCATGGGCATTATTGGTCTGGCATTGGCCTTTGATATCTGGACATGTCGCGGCGTTATTTTGGTTGGTATGGGAACACATTGAAATTTGACAGACTGGTATGGGGATATTAATATCTGGGGTTTAGCCCAGGACCCCCGCAGAATTTTGGATACAATGAACCCCGGGAGCCTAAGCACTGATTTACCCGTACAAAGATACTGGATTCCGATAGATCTCTCAGTGAGTGATTTTCATAACAAAAACAAAATTCGTAGCATCATATCACTCCTTAAAGAGAACATGGACCTATATCCTCGAGGATATAGGTCCATGAAGAGAAGTATCTTACGATCCTGATCTAGTAGAGTTTATGAAAGTTTCAAACCCTATTTCGAAAATTGGACATCGCGACTCGCTAATACAGGGCTGTCAACTTGGGACCACCTAATATGAGTGACTTACAAATGTTGGACACCGAAGTCCAAATCTGAACACTTTTGTCCAAATTTTGAACACCTTTGGCCAACTTTTAAACACCTTTGGCCAAAGTTTGAGCACCTTTGCTAAACTTTTATCACCTCAAATTTTTCGCGCTCGCTACGCTCGCGTTGTCGTCAACGGGGGGGGGGGGGGGGGGGGGGGGGGGGGGGGGGGGGGGGGGGGGTAGGTACGAAAATTTCCAATCAACATGCGTGACATATACGGGATTCGCGTGACAAATCCGAACAAATTGCGTTCGTTTTTTTCCGACGTTCGTATTTTTACCGTATCATAAACATATTTTGAAAAATTTTTTACAGAAACATATTTGCGTGACAATTACCAGGTAAAATGCGTATTTGCGTGACATTTTGTGTCACGCAAAAAAAACTGGCGTGACCTCAAATTCTTCAGCAAATGCGTGACAAATACGCAAATTGCGGGACAGTTGACAGGCCTGCTAATATTGTATTTGTAAAATGCGCCCCTAAACTTTTCGCTAGTTCGAGAAATATTGTAACTTTAATCATTTTAGGGGAAAGCCCAGGAAATCCCCGTCATACATCACGTGACACAACATCTGCCATATTGCTTCCGGTTATAGAACGAAATAATAATTTGCTTCAATAAACGTCAATTTATGGTGAATCTAAATGTTTAACTTCAATAAAAGGGAGTAAATATCTAATCTGAATCATCATGTCGTTGGAAGATCCGTTCTTTGTTGTGAAGGAGTGAGTATTTTCGTCATATTTTGATCATTGAAATTTTTGTTTTTATGCTGTTCAGTTTTTCTTCAAAAGCAAGATAAAACCACGGACGTCAAGTAAGTTTCTGGCGAAAGCCGGAGCATAGATTATTTAAGAGGACTGGAAACAAGAATGACATACCTTTTTATTTCCCGAATCTCGCCTGAAATTAGATCATCTTGGTGACTGTAACCTGTATATCTGTATTAATAGAGTCTCTTTGTATCGCATCTGCCTCAATTTTAAAGTTTTATTGGCATTTTTAATATGATTTCACTGTTTTTGTGGACTGGACGATTCAGCCAAGCAAATGGCAGCTGGCCTGTTCAAAGTACTTTTAGTACTAAATATCGCAATGACAATAATTTTGGAAACAATATTATACTAAATAGATTACTAAGCATCTAAGGTAAGTAAAACTAGATGAACAACTGAGTCAATAGTGATAAATATGCCAACACGAGTTGGCAGATTTGAAATAGACTGCCAACTTGTTTCCAGTCCTCTTTATAATCTATGCTCCAGCTTTCGCCAGAAACTTACTCGACGTCCGTGCTCCAGCTTTAGCCAGAAACTTACTCGACGTCCATGGATAAAACACTTATTCTAGTGAGCAGTTCATATGGTTAAAATAAGGAAATAATGAAATATTACCATGTGTCTACTTACCAGTTTGTTTTATGTCATCCATCCTGCTAGGTTACATTGTTGAACTCAGCCAAACACGACACTGACGTTTCGGCAACATGGTTCAGAACTTTTATTCAAATTCCGGTTCTTGAGCACGGGCTCCCAACAATCGTCAAAAAAATCTTGGTCCCTTTATCCACTTATCATGTCTGTTACTTCTTACACTGTGAGTCAATTATCTCAATCTATAGTTATTACTGGAGCACTCAGCACACATCATGTGTATTGATAGCTGAGCTTTACCATTTGGTATATATCTTTTATGAGGGGTAACAAGTCCACATCTCACTGTGTGAGCCAAAAATGTAATTCAGGTGTAAGCATTTGTTTTATATTCATTATTTCAGAGAGGTCCAAAAGGCACTCCAGACAGCAAAGACACTGTATCAACGATGGAGTGAAATTGTAGACGACAAAAGTGGAATGTCAAAGGAAGAGCTTGATTGGACAGCTAATGAGTTACGGAATAGTCTTCGCAGTATTGAATGGGACCTAGAAGACTTAGATGAAACCATAGATATCCTTTTCAAGATTTGTTAAATGTTGATAAGCCCAGTGTAAAAAAAGATTGATTTATTGTTCTTTTGCTCAGAAAATATTTGGCATTTGAGTGAGATCAGATTATTACAAGATGAATATTATAGATTCAAATTTATCACTTATTTTAAAAATGTTTCTTATTAGGGAACATATCAATACACTGAGGTGCATCCATTAACATTATTAATAACATTATGACTTTATGAGTGTATAAGTCCATTGCATTAAAAAAAAGGTAATTATGTATTGAGGCAGCATGGACATATGGACCCTGTCCCTTAATTTTAGAAAATATCATTATTTCAAATATTTGGATTAATACCAAAGTTCTAAAAATAAAGAAAAAATGTCTCTGAAAACATACAAACAAATAAATGATATTGTGATTTATCAATTCTCTGCCAAGTGAAATAAGAGAGAGTAAGTAAGTTAGTGAAATAATTTTTTAGAATCTCAGAAATACATTTTAGGGGAAAATCAAAAGGATAGATATATTTGGTAGAAAACCAACAAGGCATCATTAGACCACACCTTCTCCATCTCTGTCCTTCTGGACATCTGTATTGTACAGAAAGAGAAAGAGAGAGAGAGAGATGCTATAGGCATATGAATGATTAAAACACAGAACTGTTAAATATATGTTTGGGGTCTGAGCATAGGCATAGCCAGGGGGGGGGGGTGCGATGGGTGCGATCACCCATACCCAATAAAAATAAAACCATGAGAAAGAAGAAGAAAATATAATATAATATCCAAAACAAATGCATAGAAGAATCATCATTCTGAATTACAATGTGACAGTAGCTGAAGTGAAGAGACCTTGTCTCTATGGTGTCTAAAATTCTAATATAATTTTCACTACATCATTTTTTTAATCCCTTTGGCAAAATGGTTTGAAGTGCTCCGGCATAACTGATTTTGCCTCATTTTGTTTAATTAAAGAAAACTGATCTAAAGTGAAACTTTACTTTCCTTAACATAGTTACGTATTGTAGAAAAAAATCCAAAGAAGTTTAAAATAGATCAGATGGAGTTAAGGGAAAGAAAAGCATTTGTACATAGGACAAAAATCAGTGTCAAGGTGAGTATATGTTTGAATTAAGTAAACATTTGTGAGTGTAAGTTTACAATGAGAAAACATATAGTAGTGTCATGATGAGTGTAAGTTTGAATTGAATAAACATACAGCAGTGTCATGATGAGTGTAAGCTTGTAAGCAAATATTCCCATCTGTCAAGATGAGTGAAAGTTTGAATAGAATTGAAACGAATTGGTGTCAATATGAGTGTAAGTATAATGCACCAGTGTCAATATTTTTAAATTTTGAATTGAGAGAACACAGGCATTAATCAGAGCAAAATCATTTAATGAATAAAGATGTTGAATTAAATCAGTATTTCCAATGATTTTGCATGGAATTAAAGTAAACCAGCATTGAACATCCTGGAAAGTACTTGAAAAATGATAATGAGATTTGCAAATTATGGGAGATGTCAACTGAAAAAAAGATTGAATTGAAAAAATGAAACATCAATTTTTCATGTTCGATGACTATGTGGAATGTAGCCACTTAGATGTCTCTTATAATCCCTAGTGTCGGTAGTGCCGTAATGTTATATATTGTTGAGATGAACCTGTATTGATCCAAGAGAGCAATTTACTGACACTCTGATTAGTCAGTAATTTATAGAATCATCACACTTAACTCTTAGAATCAATATGGTCCTGTGTTATTGTTGGCATGATGCATCCAGTTATTAAAACCGTTATCTCTTAGTGTTAGGAGGTCAATTGGAGACCTATGTATTTCTTATACTGTGCTTTAGAGCCCTAATGGCAGAACAGCATCATGTTTTGAAGGGCTTTAACAATAATTCTGCTTAACATTTATTTATTTTCATTATATTTCAGTTTTGAGTATTGGCTCCATCTCATTAAAATATTGTTTCATTTTATTCTTAAGCTGTTCAGGACTTGCAGCCAATAAGGAATAATATTTAAATGATTTTGATTACATTCACATTAAGACTGACATGATGAATAATATTTCTGTAATAGTTGTTACCTATTGCCACTTTTGGGGTGAAGGTGATATGAAATATCAAGATGAAATATGAGGTGACATACATACCATACATTGTATTACAAAAAGACTAGAATTATGGATCCCCTAGATCACCCAGCCAAATACAATATATCGTGGTAGTTTACACACTCTGGGGATGAATTATATGACTTGATAGCAAATATTCTGAGGTTTTCTTCAACATATCTGAATGATTGTGATATATTTACAAGGAATATATGTCTTCTGTATTAACCATTTAGATTACATTATTGGTCCACTGACTGAATATTCTTAAATAATAGTATCCCTCATGGTGTTCAGTTATTCCATTAATCAAACAAATTATCCACCAAAGGTTTCCAATGAGACAATTCTTACGAAATAAGTAGCATTTATGACTTCTATAATCTAATTGGGATTGAGTTGTATATTCCCAGTGAAGAAATATTTGCCAGTCATGATATACCGTATGTCATAAAAGTGTAGGGCTATGGGGAGGCATCCCTCTTTTTCTGATACATTTCATGAAGCCCATTTGTTTGGATGTTCATTCAGTTCATTTATCTTGAAGTAGGGGTAGAGTCACTTTCTAAGAGATATGACCTGTCCTCCCTGCTTTCTGAACTAGCATGTCAGTCCAAGAACATCAAAATCTGTTATGTTATAATGTATAGAGGATGTAGTATACTCGATCCCCTGAGGTCAACTGTCAAAGTTGTACACTTGTACTCTGAACGTCAAATTATATATTTTTAGTAAAGCATTTCAAATGATTTTGCATAGTCTGTTTTTGAAGTCTTCATACACTGACACATAATATATTTCCTTTTTGTTATAGCTTCAGATGAAAGAAACTGACTTTTCTTTTCACCAAACGCGGATATTACATTTCCAATACTGTTCTAAATTATTATTACTCATCATGGATACACTCCCTGGGGATTTTCATGATAAATAGTCATTCTCGTGAATATAGATACTTTATATTTGACAAGATGTGGAGATTATTTTTCTGATTAAAACAGAAAAAAACAAAATCAAAAATTATTACCAAATAATTTGACATAATAAATATGTTCTAATTTCAGTTAACAACTTGTGAATACTGTAGATTGGGTTAATATGGCGCCCACTTTAATTTGGCGAATTTGGCGAAATGAAACCTTTGCCAAAATTTAGAATGAATCCCAGGGAATTATCTAGGGTATTTCATCCAGTGTATTTAGGTTTCTTCGGTTTAGTTTTTCCAATATTATGAAAAAATGTCTCTCATAAATTGGCTCAGGACTGGCCAGTCGATCGAGGTGCAAAATGTAAAGGATGATCTCACAAAAATGGTTTATTCCCATTTCGCCACTTCCCATTTCGCCCCTTCCATTTTCGCCCCTCATTTATTCCCATTTCGCTCCTTCTCAATTGGCCCTTTTCCCATTTCGCCCCTTTCCCATTTTGCCCCTTTGCCGTTTCACCCCTTTCCCGTGTTGCCCCCTTCTCATATCGCCCCTTTCCCTTATCGCCCCTTCCCATTTCGCCCCTTCCCATGTCGCCCCTTCTCCATTTCACCCCTTCCCATTTCGCCCCTTCCCATCTCGCCCCTTCCCATTTCGCCCCTCATTTATTCCCATTTCGCCCCTTCCCATTTTGCCCCTTCCCAATTGGCCCCTTTCCCATTTCGCCCCTTTCCCATTTTACCCCGTTGCCATTTTGCCCCTTTGCCTGATTTAAGGTCGTTGAGGCTGTTGTGAACCTCTGTGACCCATGATTAAGTGAACTAAGGTCAAGGTCATTCCAAGGTCAAAGGTCAGTACCTAGGTATTTTACTTTTTAATAAATGAGGGGCGAAATGGGAATGAACGAGGGGCGAAATGGGAAAGGGGCCAATTGGGAAGGGGCGAAATGGGAAGGGGCGAAATGGAAAGGGGCCAATTGAGAAGGGGCGAAATGGGAAGGGGCGAAGGGGGAATGAGGGGCGAAATGGGAAGGGGGCATAATGGGACGGGGCCGAAATGGAAGAGGGGCGAAATGGGAAAGGGGTAATTTGGGAAAGGGGCAAAATGGGAAGGGGCGAAATGGGTAGGGGCCAAATGGGAAGGGGCCAAATGGGAATAAATTAGGGGCGAAATGGGAAGGGGCAAAGTGGGAAGGGGCGAAATGGGAAGACACCCACAAAAATGTACAAACCTGGTGAATATTGCCAGTGGTCCTCAAAAGAAAAAATGAACATAACCAAACATGCCCATTTACATGGTAATTCACAAACAGCGCATATGTTTAACATTGCATTAACTTTTTTTGCATATCCGCCTAATTAAATAGCTGCCAAAAATGGCAAAATTGCCAAATTAACCTAATCTACAGCAGTTCAATTGAAAATACATTGGAAAATACATTGGAAAACTATTTTCCGAAAGTTCTCAGACGGAAGATGTGTATAGCCATGTAGTATCTCTTCAGTCATGATGAGCTAAAATAATACAACTGGAAAAATGTCAACACAACAATTCTAAAGTTTATACTGTACAGTACATGTGTAATGCACTGTTTTGTTGATTTCAGATCAATTAAATACTTCAAACTTAATTCATCTCAAATAGCTACTCTGAACTAGTCACCTTCTGATTCTTAACAAGAGATTGTTTAAGCATAGTTCAATAATGTCATTTCTAAGGGCAATATAGTGAAATATTGGACCGAGGGTGAAATATTGGACAGAGGGCCGAAGGCCCAAGGTCCAATATTTCACTATATTGCTCGCAGAAATTACGTTTTTAGTATTATTTACCGTTAATGACCAGGGCTGAAATAGCAAGAAAATCTTACGCACTGAACGATATCTAATTTCCCGGGGAAAATTTGCCGGTCCAGAATATATTCTAGACCGGTCTATATGGACCACCACTATGACGTCACACATTTCTCAGGTCGATATAGTAAAATGAATGCCTTCTAAACTAGCACCAAAACCCCTAGAACTGGCCCGGCAAGGTGGTAATAATATTGGTTAAATTCAGGAAATGTTGTGATAAGTGGAAGTGATGCTGAATTAGGTTTTCATTGCAATCCTCATTGTGTTTTATCAAAATAGAGTGTACATTAATATTGAAGATTTGAGATGTAGAAATGTTCAAAATGATACCAATAAAGGATTATCCTTAGGCTAATCTGTGAAACTCCTTTGACATTGAATATTAGGACCAAAAAATATTGTTAAGAGACAATTGCTTTGAAACCTAATCTCAAGTCCGAGACAATTCCGAGACATATGATCACCTTCTGGAAATCTGGAACATAAAGTCAAATAGAAAAATTTTGTAACAAGAATCCCAGATTACATGCCTGTTGCTTTTTGTCATTGCAGGATATGAAAGATGATCTTGCCAATCCAAAAAGAAGAATACGTGAAGATAAAAATACAAAAACTGTAAGTAATAGGAATTGAAAAAAAATGTAAGGGGAGTTCTGTATTGAAAATGATTAGCTAAAAATAGTTTTCATTTTGATAATATTAGTTCTTAAAGATTGATGATTATAGCATAAATGTTGGATGCATCTTTTGAAAAGTATCAATCATGTGTGTATTTATCACAATATTTATTTTGAAATTTGAGAAAATATTTGAATTTTCTGATATACATGTACATGTATCACAGATTCTATATGAAGTATTGAGTAAATGTTTTGAATATTTTCAGGCACTTTTACAAAATGGTCCTAGTCGTCCACAGGACAAATACACTCGCCTTGATAATGACATTTCAAACTCCAATTCTCGGTTTATAGAAGACACGCAGCAGCAGCAACAGGTATGGAGCCAAAATTCCTTGTATGTATGTATGTAATACATGTGTGCAATAAAGTATGCAATGAAGTACCCCATATTTATGAATTGTGCCAACAAATGAAAACAATTTCTGCTTAGTACAAGAAAAAACACAAAAGTTGTTCACATTGAAGCACTCGGAGAAGTTTACTTCAAATTATCTACTAGTAGTTGTTCATATTGCAATACTAGATTATCAGATATGTTGTTCTAATGTTTTAAATATGATGATTTTAAAGATTATAATTGATTGTCCTTTCCATACTGTGCGATCTTTTTGTTTAGATGCTGATTCGATCTCAGGATGATCAAATAGATCAGATGGGGGCAAGTGTTACAGTTTTAAAGAATGTCAGCCACCATATAGGAAATGAACTAGATGACCAAGCATTGTAAGTCATATTTTATGGAGTTATGTTTTATAATTATTGCTTAATTTCATGACATTTCACTCCATGGATCTTTCAGAGCATGAAGAACATTATATCTGAATTTAATCAATCAAAATTTCTTAACAATCAGCATAGAACAGACCTTTCCAATAAATCCTGCCACCTTTTGGTAGGCCTATATCAAAGAAAGTATGATATGTAGCTAAGTATAGATTGGTGATGTCATTGGTTGTCATTGGTTGTAGGTCGCAATTTGTCCAATAAAAAATAGGACAACTTAGCATACTGGATTAATTGCTAATATTGAAAAAGAACATGACACCATTACATCACATGGTACTTGCATGTTTTTCCATATTCCTTGCTGATTCCTCTCTTTTCATATTATTTTGGTATTTAAAGCAGGTTCACCCAAAATTAACAAATGACAAATGCAATATATACAATGAATTCTCTGATGAAATCACCCTCTCCACATTGATGTAATAACTGTGATCTGTTCCAGAATGTTAGATGATTTCTCACATGAAATGGACAATACAGATTCACGTATGGACAGTGTCATGAAAAAGATGGCCAAAGTATTACACATGTCAAATGGTAAGAATGTGACCTCAGGTGCAGCCATAGTTAGTATACGCTAGGCTAGGGTGGAGGGGCAGTTAAATTGAGGTTTTGAATACAGAGAAAAGTAGGCAGGGGATGAACTATAAATCATCATCACATAGATCTGTTTCAATTTCATTCATGGACTAGTCTAGACTCCAAATGTTCTAATTTAATTAATTTTCTCTATCTGGATTAGTATAGGTAGTTTTTTTTCATCTTGCATCACAAAAAACACATCATTTTCCTGCCTCCGTTGCAGTGCAGATGGCTAACATGATTTTTCATTCAGCCTTTCATAAAAGGCCATAAAATCTACATTCGAGATCATTATCCCACTGAACAAAGTTTGAGGGTGATATAGGAAAGCCGTCTGTCCGTGCGATAACTCAAAAACCATTTGCCCGATTTTCTTCATACTTTGTACACATATGCCCTATGGGGGTAGAAGTTCTTCTCGAAAGAAAATTTTTAAAATGACTGCTCGTTTGAAAATGGCAGCCATTTTAGTGCCGGTTATTACAGTAATTTTATGTACAATATATAAAACTGTATTGCTATACACTTCATTTGTAAAAATGCCAGCCATAGCGTTGCTGTTGTCTAGTTTTTACCAAATTCACATTACATCCTTATAAGAATTAGCATTTCCGATAACTCTTGCCATTGTTTTCATCCTGGTATATTTTTTTCCTATTGTATTTTTACCTCTTATAGCTATGGTTCCATTTGTATTTGCAGATAGGAGGCAGTGGTGTGCAATAGGTGTGTTAGTGGTAATCATGATCATCGTCATCCTGCTGTTTATATTGTTATAGCACATGGTAGAACCCAACAGCACGCACATATGAACGCAACATGACTCCTGACACCTTTCGTACATAATGAATAATTGTAATGTGTCATATTTCTATAGAACCTTTACAACTCCATGACTTAAAGGTTACATTACATTTGGAAATCTACATGGAATTATAAATCCGAAAGAGCAGTTGATCTCAAAGTAGCATCCTGAAAAAGTAACAGAATTCTCTTCATTTGAAAGACATATTACCATATTTTAGTATACCGTTCAGATCAATGTTGGCAACAGGATACCATAATGTTGGAAATACAGATGTCAAATTATATGAGCCAAAAGGAGCAAGTACCATATGCAATATCATTAAGGACAATATAACTTTGTCAACATCTTTAAACAGAATGAGATTATGTTTAGAATTCCATATACAATCTATATTTCATTATATATGAACACTATGTGAGATAAAATGTAAATAATCCATGTGGGATGGTATATCTATGAGGGATTTACAGTTTAGACCATTCTATAATATTAACACTGTACATCAGTAAAATTGTTAAACACAACAATCCCTGCTTACATGCACCAAATTGACTTAAATTGGGATGAATTGCTATTATGTGGAATGGTATGCGTTCAGTGAACTGATGATGTGAAAAATGTGTGATTTGTTCAGGAGATGTGGCATAAAGTAGAATGTATCAAAGTGAGGGAAACCAGAAACTTTAAAGAAAATGTTGTCAACCCAATACTTACAGATCTTATGCAACCTGATTTTCAGGCAAAGTATCATCAGGTTAAGAAATGGAATAGATGGTGAATAAGATGAAATGATGTCTTGAGGTAAAGCAATGTCTCATTGGAGGGACTGATATTCTATGAAATGAATTGACATGTAAATAAATGAGGTGAAGCCATATTTTGTGAGGTAAAGCAATGTCTCATGAGGTTAAATTATGTTTCGTGAGTTGAGGTGACGATGAGTATTTAGAACCAGAAATAGGGATTGAACCCCTTATGTTAAAATGACTTAAAGTCACATATAGACATGTACAGATGTAAGAGTAGTTGTATATAGTAGAATTTTATTCATTGTACATAAATGTAAAGTATTTATTTTAGTCAGCATGTGCTTAAATTTTTGCTTTGGTCATGCTTAGAGAATATTGCAATGAAATTGTGAATATAAAGCCCATTAATACGAATATTGCAATGAAATTGTGAATATAAAGCCCATTAATACGAATATTGCAATGAAATTGTGAATATAAAGCCCATTAATACGATTCTCATTGTAACAGGGTGACTCGTAGGGATTTCCTGTCCAAAACTGAACATCAAAATTGTTCAACATTGGATTCAAGTTCAAGCCTCCTTGTTCCAGACTAGTGCTTATGTAACCCCCTGTTCAGTATCTGCTTTCTATTCTTTAAGAAAAAAGCCTTTCAAAAACACTGTACCAACTAAAATGCTTTTTTTGATGTTTAGGCTGTACCATGTAAAATACAGTATTGACATTTACAAGGAAAAGCTATGTGAGATTGTTTTTATAAGTTAACAGTTTTATTTTGAGTTTTTTATTTGAAAACAAAGCTTTGATTGCATGTTGTCTTTATGTGTGGCATTTCCATTGTGTCGTGTGCTTTTAAAGCTGAGAAATTCCATGACAGATTCAATATGCCAGTTTTAAAGTATCAGTATGGCACAATCTTGTATCAAGTGTCTGCTTCCCAACTCCACTTTGTATATGTTTTCCCAGAACGAATTGTTAGAAAAGGATTAGAAAAGGAAAGATTGGCTGCCCTTGAACATACCATTGTGGATTGTCACACACACCAACCTTTCACCATTGATATAAGCACTGGCTATTACTCAAATCCCCTACTTATTGTGTTTTTCTGGCATACAATTTAATTGGTATTGAGTTTTTCTGGCATACAATTTAATGGAATGTATAATGATCTCTGCCAATTATATCACTGGGTGCTGTGCCCTATCAATGTTGAAATTCTGTTTTCTCCCTGTACTGTAGACATCATATCAAGATACTTTGATCAGAAATATGAAATTATGATTTAGCAATGTTAAATAAAAAACTATGGGGAGCCTTTACATGTGTTAGTGTGTGACCCTATTTATTTCGGAGCCGATAATTTTTTACTTGCTTAAGAGGTGTAATTCCTTGGCTTGAAATATGGAAATGAAATAAAACTGATCAAAATTCAAATTTTTACAGAGTACTGTTACATTGTATGTTCTTTGGATCCTGCCGCATTTGTGCTTTGGAACATTGACTAATGTTATATGATGCTCATTTATTTACTGATTGCATTCCACTACATTCAGTTCAGACTAATCACCCTATGAAGAAGATACAAAAACATCTATTCAATATAAACTTTAAGTTTAGATATAATTCAGGAATACTAAGGATAAGAATAAAACGGCTAAATATGCCTAAATGTACAATAAATAAGTTCTACATGTAAGTCCATTCAATGTTGACACAGTGCGACAATATATGTTTTAACATGATTATGTAACAAGTCAATTCGCCCATTCTGGTTGCGTAAAATGTTCGTCTGTGGATTGACTAAAATCGTGGACGTTCTGATGCTGGCAAGTCTTTGTAAGGCGTGGGGGCATAGAACTGAAAATAAAATGGTACCGTGAAATAATTTTGAAATTGTGAAGTAAGTCAAAGATTCGTATAGCTGCTGTAAATCATTGGTTCTCTGAGCAAGCTCACTTGCTAAATAAACGGGGGCCCATTTGCAAAATAAAGTTATCACCGAAATGAAAATGTGAACGTGGTTCGGCCCACACTGTGTATTCAGAACGTCTTTATATATGATCTCTCAGACAGAGTACGACATTCACGTACCTTGTATTGCCTGTTATTGTCATATCTCAGGTGCGGTTTTGATTCCTTCGTCCATCCAACCTCTGGGTGGATAGTGTATATCCTAGTAACATAACTGAAAGGAGAAACTATGTGACAAGTACAAACCAAGTAAACAACATTAATTTTTTAAATCCTCGGGGAACTTAAAACACTTAAAACACTTAAACACAAATTAATTTCTTAACAAATGTGAGGTAAAAGAAATAATTCATTTTAGTGAAAAAGAGTTGAAAGCGGCACTATAAGATTAATATAATTCGAATGACATATTTTTGCTTCGAAAGTATAAATTGTCGATGAGAAAATTAAGGGACTGTTTTCAATATATTCTGGAAGTGTTACGATTCATTGTTTTGTAATGAAACCTATTTACTCCATCTAAAGAGCAAAACAGACTGAGAAAAATATAAAATGGCCGATATCGGTTGCACTTTCAAGGATCCGCGTGAAGTGTAGCCTATTGGCCGCAACCCCATGTACAGTTTTAGAGAAATCTTGAACTCATAATCAGTGACAATGAGAATTTTCCTGAAATATACTGTATGCCAAAGCCTTAGGTTCTAGGAGAAGGATGATATCTGAATAATCCATATTTTTTTGTGTTGTTTGTGTCTTTTATTATTTATTAATTAGGTTGGGGGTGGGTAGAAGCTCACAGGACATGGGCTTAGAGAGATCAGCTATGGTAGTGGTACATCTGGCTGGCTCAGCGCTGTGTCTGTCTATTTCATTCTTGAAATAATTGATACTTTCAACATCAAATGAAATGTCCAAAAACGAAAGTTCATGAGTTTCAAGAGAATACTTACTAAGCAGCTAAGAACATTCCAACTCCGATTACTCCATACAATGGGATCAATGCAGGGTGTTTCTTTAACGATTTCATTGACATTCCCTGCATTTTGAAAATATCTAATTAGCTCTACTATAAATTCAAATTAAAAATGAATATGAACTGAACTTTTATGAAAAATCAACTTTCAAGTTTGCCTAGCTCTAGGTTTATGACGTCATTTACACATTGCAAAAGTTCAACCAATCGTAATCTTACAAATACATGACGTTGTAAAGTGTCTCATCAGCAATTCTCTGTTTACGCGAAACTGCCCTTCATGGTTCCGAGGCAATTTAACTCAACGTAGTTAGATTGTTATTTCTGATGGCTGTTAATCAAAACAAACTTCACTAGCTCATGGTGTCCTTCAAGGATCAGTGCTTGGTCCTATCTTATTTGACATCTACAAATCCTCTGATTTCTTTGAGTTCATCTTATTTGCTAATGATACCAATCTCACGAGCTCTAACAAATACATTTACCTACTCGATTAGACAAAGGACAACAAAAATTGCAAAATGTCAGAATCCGTAATCTACTTTTCAAATCTGATGTCTTTGTCTTAGTATTTTGTCAATTTTTTTATCTTACTATCCTCGCATTGCAGTGCAATATTAATGATCGACCTCCCCCTCAGGAGACATTAAAGTTGCTAGACGTCAAATTTTCAATTACTCAATCACCTGTTGATACATGTAGTCTGAAAGCAGTTTATGTTAGCACAAAACGATGGGAAAGATACACTTAATATTTACTAGATATTGATATAGTGGTGATACCAGATGTACCTCTTACACAACTGGCAAACCATTTTGTTAAAAGCATCGTACACCTTATCCCTGCCTTTGTAACAGGTACTGCTGACACCAGAAGTGCCAGTACAACGAGGGAAAATGACGCGTTTTGTGAGAAGCAAATCCGGGGCATGCAACACGTGTTTAAGTATACATTCAATGATAACCATGACATGAGGCCAACTTATTTTACTTTTTGAGAGATAATTTATTTCACCATTTAAATGTGTACAATTAGCTTGCTTCGGTCAACACATTCATAGACAGGCATCGATTTTTAAATTTATCATTCCCTCGATGTCGCGATCAGTTTGTTTATAACACTTCCAATCAATTTCTCATTTTAATTTCCCACGACTTTCTGCCTTCTGTTTGAAAGTTTAGTTCCACGTAAAAACTTGAATATTCTCCCTGTGTAGAAAAGAAGAACACCTAGTGTCACTGTGGCTGCAGACATGTAGTATGTCGGTATGTAACTGTCGAAGCGATCCGCCAGGATACCTACAAATACAAGTAATGTTGTTTTAGACAAGTGCGTGTACGATTGGTTACATGTAGGTGTATATAGCTGTCTTCTTCGCAATTCATTAAGGGTCAATCAAGTGTTTATGCCCTGCTATATTTATTGATGCCCTGAACACAATGCTGTTTGACAGCCGGATTTGACAGTCTGTTTGTCAACTAATTAAAAAAATGATTCTACATCTATCCAATATAGCAGTTAAGCTCACTCCGGACTGAAAAGAGAAAGTGGAATACGGAAGAAGTCACTCACCTCCAACCACGGGTCCTAGCATTACCCCGACACCCTGGAAAGCCAATATCAGACCATGCGAACTTGACAGTTTGTCGTTCCCTAGAAGATCTGCAACAATAACCGGTCGTTGGACCCAGAATATGCTCTCGGAAGCACCAAATAATACCGCTATGATCAAGAACTGTGGAAGTGTTCTAGCAAGAGTATACGCAATACCATAGACAGCGAACGAAAATATGGCAAACATGTAGACCTTTGTCCGATGAGGACGGACAAGCTTCATGTCCAAGAAGAATCCAAGAACGATGCGAGAGATGCCGTCACTAGCACCGGTTGTAGCAAGGATAATGGCACTCTTCGCGATGGTCAATCCCCGTTCCCTGGCTAAAGCCAGTAAAAATACCGGCATCGATGTATAACCAAATGTCCCTATTAAAATTGCCATTGACAAAGTTAAGAAGCCACTGTCCTTAAAAAGAGTGAGGTAAACATTTTCTGGTTGTTTCTCGTTATGACCAATTGTTTTTTCAGCCACAGTTTTTTCTGCATTGCTTTTCTCTGGAATATCATTCAGGTTACTATCATTTGTTTCATTAATATCACACATGTCTTTTGATTTATCTAGCAAGTGCATCATATGTTCCGGGTCTTCATTTTGCTCCTTGCGAGAGGTTGGAGGTTTCCTAAAATTGTTTGCTAACGGTCGGAACAGAGCCCCACTAATACAAATATGTAACAATAGCCCTCCTTGGAGTAGCATAGCCCCGAAATAGCCATATTCAAACATGAGATATCTGACAAGAATAGGCATAGCGAATGCTCCAATGCCAGAGGATGAAGCCGCAAGACCCATGGCGAGAGAACGGCGTTCCTTGAAGTACTGACCAACAATGACGATGCTAGGAGAGTATGTCAGTGTACCACCGATTCCTGAAATAGAAATAAGAGGCTAAATAATACGAAAGGCAACTATTTACTCGAATCTAGATTGGCGTCCGTCTGTAATGGATACACATACTCCCTAAAATCAGAAAACATGTAGGCATATTAAGTTTGTAGCTTATTAGCCTCTTGATAAGATTTCAGCAATCTATACCTTCAAGAAACAAAGTATAATTCTTTACTACTGTACCTCCAACAATATTTAATATCAAATATTAAAGCTTTATCACCTCTTTAAGTGACCAATTTTTAAAAACATACTTCTTTCTGAAAATGGGTTTATGTACGTGTATTAATCTGATAGATAACCTGCCGATTGCAGTTACAAACATGAAAAATGACGACATGTCTCCATATCATATTCTGATTTTAGTATACTTTACCGAAAAGGACGCCCCATGTAAAGTAAAGGACACCTAAGCTTGGCGCCAAGCTGCTTAGAATCGACGAAGATGCACAAAAGAGTCCTCCAATAATCACAACAGACCTTGTTGAGAATCGTTCGGTTAGCATTGCCGCTATGGGGCCTAGAATAAAACAAATTGACGTAGGTGCGTGAGCGGTCCTGGGTAACCTTTCGGAATGCAAAAAGTCGGCAAGCAACATTACGCCAGGTTCCCTATTCATTGTCTTATACTGAGATATGAATAAAAATGAAATGAATCGGCTGAAATAATGCAACTTTTACTCAATCTATCCAATGGTGTTGAGAACATTTATTTTATATTGTAAAGAACGTATTGAATTCGGTGATCTTAAAATCTGAACTTGTTCCGCTAAAATGGCGGGAAATTCAAATCTTTTAATGTTGCTGGGGCCTTTTAAAGACAAATCGTGTGAATGATTCATGGTGTAACTCATTGGACACAGCGAGCAATATTAATGATTTAATCTGCATACACTTACTCATTAGGAACAGAAGGGCATTTTGGAGCCCACCCACCCAAGCAGTCGCCGCGGCTCCACCATGGAATCTTGAAAACAAGACTTTCATTTGATGTTTTGATATCTTTCAATTTTGCTTTTTAATTTCAGTAAATTTCAAACTAGTCAACGTCATCAGCCATACATTTTCCATCGTTTTTAATCGTCCTAAACTTTGGTATATGGCATAACTGATAATTAAATGATGTAAAAGCTCAGAATCACATATGATCAAGTTCGTTTTGATGACGGTTCATTTGTGTTACCTGTCTTTGAATACAATGTAGAATACAGCAAATGACCTCATCAGACCAAGCAACATAAATAGCGATATTTGACATCCAATTACACACATCCAACCCCATCCGCCATTCAACGCTTTGATTTCATCCGTATCCTTGCCCGATGTATCTTTTTCATCTTCAGGGGCGTTTCCGGTTTTGGTGACACCATCACTATCCTTGCTTTGATTGGAGGGAAGCGTTGTCGGTCCATATCTACCTTAAACAGAACAACTATTTAAAATCAAACTTTGTTTTAGGAAAAATCAAATTAAATTGTTTATTACTTGCGTGTTTCACACATCCCGTTTGATTTAATTATGCCGTTTGAACAATAGAGATTCCACATCGGCGCACTGCGTTTCGTTGTTTGGTAGCCTGCGTTTTCTTTGTACCTTCTATGTTGTTTTTATAACTATCTTTTCATACCGGTCTTTAGATTTATTGCAAGCCATAGTACAATTCTATAGGCGTTTTTATACCAACGTTCAGATGGTCAGTAGTTCATACCGAGCTGCATTTTATTCTATTTCACAATTATAATCGAGGCCTATCCATTTTATAGAATCTGATAACTTACAGTCCTCGAATTCTTGTTGTGTCAGTCTCGTCGGAAGGCCAATTTCCACGTTTAGCGGTGTATTAGGGCCAGGGGGTGACCTGACATACTCGTATCCCGCGACTGTCACTCTACGGAGGCCCATAATGTTATATAGAATATAAACTTTATATTCTTGCTTTAAAAAAATCGACGGATAACTTGGTCTGAAGAAAGCATTTGCTTGAATGTTTTTAGATGATATTAACGTTTATGGAGCGGGTAAACGTATTTAATTAGCTGACAAGAATATGTTCCACAACGCATATGGAGTGATAGTGGCTTGTTTTATGAATTTTGACATGAGAACATAAATACTCTTGTGCACAAATTTAAGAAATTTATCATTTTTTACAAGCTCTCATGTCTCTTTTTGATTGAGTTTTAGGTTTACTTAAGATAAAATCAAAAAATAAAGTTTTGTTAATCATAAAGTCCGCTTTGAGATAGGTGATACGAACTGGTTAACTTGTCAACCGGGTTCCTTTAAAGTTCACCTCGAGACTCGGGGACAATGTTTTAACAAACGTTTAATGTTTACAATTACGTGATTTCTTAAATGTATGCGTATACTGCTTTTTTATCATTGTAATGCTCAATCACTTAGATCCTTGTAGTACAACCAGCTATGCCAATTCAAAGATGTTATAATGCATATGAGCAATGTCTCAACATGTCTGATCAAAAGATACAAATCTGTACAATTGTACAAGGACATGTAGATGTATTTCATGTGACATTTATTGAATATAAATATACTATTTATATTTAGTTAACCTACCTTTAATGCGGCTAACTCCAATCTTTAACATATCTTTGATATTATAAGTGAGCCAAATCTACAATTACATCAATGTTCTTTCTAAAATATGTATCTATTTACTGCAAGTCATTATTACTTAAAGCCTTCGTTTTCCATCGTCATTTCATAAGATGACGATGACGACATTTTGATACCGATAATACTAGTTTGGTGATTATCTTAATAATACTCATACTTCAAGTAAACATGTAAATGAGAACAATTGTATTTACACATGACATGATATTTATACAGGCGGGCAATCTACGTACAGGTATTATTGTGATTCGCTTATCTTACAGCATATTTGACACAGCGTGCCAGATCTCAATACCCCTTTAAGGTAGTTCTGTATGTTAAGCTTTTTTCTAGTCTTGCTTCTAAACAACACAATTGTTAGAGTTACTGTATATAGTCCAGGGTCTTGAAGCAAGACTACTTTAGTAATTTTGAAAAGTAGACCACTGAATATTCTATACAGTATTTCATGCATTCTAAATAATTATCAACCCTCAATTAATAGTATAGGTACACACAATTCAGACCTAATTCACCTTTTGTGCAAAAGTTAAAAATAAAGACCATGTGTGGAATGAGTTATGTTTCTCTGAAAACAGCACATGGTCAGGAAATTTTAAAACGTACAGAAATACCTTAATACAATAATACTTAATGTCAAAAAGTAGATCAAAGTCTACCTTTTATGAACTCAGTCATTCAGAGATCACGTGTGCCAACCGGTTTATTCCCATTTCGCCCCTTCCCATTTCGCCCCTTCCTATTTCGCCCCTCATTTATTCCCATTTCGCTCCTTCCCAATTGGCCCCTTTCCCATTTCGCCCCTTTCTCATTTTGCCCCTTTGCCATTTCACCCCTTTCCCGTGTTGCCCCCTTCCCATATCGCCCCTTTCCCTTATCGCCCCTTCCCATTTCGCCCCTTCCCATGTCGCCCCTTCTCCATTTCACCCCTTCCCATTTCGCCCCTTCCCATCTCGCCCCTTCCCATTTCGCCCCTCATTTATTCCCATTTCGCCCCTTCCCAATTGGCCCCTTTCCATTTCGCCCCTTCACTTTTCGCCCCTTCCCAATTGGCCCCTTTCCCATTTTGCCCCTTTGCCATTTTGCCCCTTTGCCTGATATAAGGTCATTGGGACTCTTGTGAACCTCTGTGACCTATGATTAAGTGAACTAAGGTCAAGGTCATTCCAAGGTCAAGGGTCAGTATCTAGGTATTTTACTTTTTAATACCTAGGGGCGAAATGGGAAGGGGCGAAATGGGAATGAACGAGGGGCGAAATGGGAAAGGGGCCAATTGGGAAGGGGCGAAATGGGAATAAATGAGGGGCGAAATGGGAAGGGGCGAAATGGGAAGGGGCCAATTGGGAAAGGGCGAATTGGGAAGGGGCGAAGGGGGAATGAGGGGCGAAATGAGAAGGGGGCCGGCATAATGGGACGGGGGCGAAATGGAAGAGGGGCGAAATGGGAAAGGGGCAATTTGGGAAAGGGGCAAAATGGGAAGGGGCGAAATGGGTAGGGGTGAAATGGGAAGGGGCCAAATGGGAATAAATGAGGGGCGAAATGGGAAGGGACAAAGTGGGAAGGGGCGAAATGGGAAGACACCGCCAAAGCCAAGTCAGTCCGGCCTATACATCGACAAAAAAACACTGACAGGATAGTTAAAGTAGAGTCCGGAATGGAGTAGAGTGGATTGATTCGGCTTTGACGCGTAATGACACGCAGATCTAGATGGGTCATTCACATTCACTGTTATGAAGAGATACTATTGATATATACCCTCCATTGCAGAAAAATCATATCACTGATACATCATTTTATTCCATAGTTAGCATGATATTCATAGGATAACATGTCAAAATAAAAACGGTATTTTTGTAATCAGTGGTAAAATATGATATTTTTGACAAATTTTCACTTAACCATAGCATACGGTTTTTTAGCCATGACATACGGCGCCGTATGCTATGAATTATGGATTTTTGCTACTTCAGACTCAAAACGAGTCAATATCGTTGGATCGTTTGGAAAATTCGATTTAAATCACTTAATTTCCGACGATTCTGATGATGACTTTAACTATGGAATAAAAAGAACATCCCATATGATTTACTCGTGATATGATTTTATTCCACTCATGGATATTGATATCTGCACTCTCTCGCTTCGCTCACTCGTGCGATATCATATCCATTCGTGGATAAAAATCATATCACTCATAAATCATAGGATATCCTCTATTTATCCAATACTTAGTAGTGTTATAGGGAAATAACAAGCGGGAATATAATCGATATCAATCCCCGGGAATTTCTTTCGGTGCTTTTTTGAATTCCCAGGATATACTTTGGCTCTATTTCATAAATAATTTCATACACCGTTAAATGTTAAAAAAAATTGTCGAGGACTTTATATTGAGATAAAATATTTATGTTTTGATTGTAATTATCGTTTGTAATTACTACATTAGGGTTCCCTAACATTCAATGCATATTTCAGTCTCATAATCTACAAAGTATGTAGGATAAATCAGTTATTGAATGCTCGATTTTTGATACAGGGTATATCCCTCGGTAAATACAATATATCAACCCTCGGTCCCTACGGTCCCTCGAGGAGATATATTGTATTTCCCTCAGATATACCCTGTATCAAAAACCTCCCATTAAATAACCTCTATATATCCTTTGTGTATTAAATATACTATTCCTCGTTCATGGTTTTTCGCATAGCCTACATTCTTAACAAAACTGACATTAGATCTCGACAACTTGAAATTCATTTTTTTTATATATTGAAAGATTTGTCATTTTGGAGGATGAAAATTAAGGCAGACCTCCAAGGCTAAAAACAGGATTTTAAGAGGAAATTGTTGATCATTCATTATCTAATGTATATGATTATTGCTATCATAACCCGCATGCAGGCGATAGATTGACAGGCCAATCAAAAAAGGTAAATAGGATTCTACCGCTGTTGCCATCTTTATATCGGCCAAAAACCATATATCCACATGCAATACCTTACCCTACTATCACACCAAACTAGTTCTCACTACGTTCTCGAAAACGGGCTTCAACTGTGTACGAACGGACTTCCCCGGACGGGGAATGTGATTTAGAATTTTGAATCGATTCAAAATTCGATGGCGACCATACCGTTCTGTAATCAGGTCATGATGACCTTCTAGACTAAGGGACGCGTTATACGACGTTGCACACCGACTTGGTGCGACCTGAACGAACTGCGAATGAGATGGACGTATTGAAGACTGTTTATGAACGAAGTAGCTAATTATTTTAGACATATTTCCCGACCACAGCCACGATTGAGCCCGTTTTACGACGTTTTCGTAGGACTGGCAAGAACGGGTAAGAACTAGGTCATCCTCTGGTATGGCTGAAATATGCATATACTATAAACCCAAAGGTCATCATCTGGATGGCTGAAATATGCATATACTTTAAACACAAAGGTCATCCTCTGGATAGCTGAAATATCCATATATTATACACACAAAGGCCATCCTATGGATGGCTGAAATACTATAAACACATACGTACGTCATCCTCTGGTCTGGCTGAAATATCCGTAGGCTATACTATTAACACAACAGTCATCCTCTTGGCTGAACTATCCGTAATCTTTAAGTTATATGTGTAGATGCTTGAAGTTGAAATCATGATTGTCATTTTGAAGTGGAACTGTTTTGAGTCTCACCTTTTAACTTCATGTTAATAAAGGTGAAACATATTTAGCTAATATACTCAGGTTTTATGCATTCAAGATTTTTATTCAATTGAACTCAGAATTCATGCACATGTTAGACTGTTACAGAAAACCAAGTTCTACAGCAGTTGATCGTTCGGTTTTGTCTGTCCATCTTGTTTTCCACCACCCATTTTAGACGTTTCTTTGATAAATCTTATCATTAGATTTTCTTCAACTTCGACCAAGTTCTACAATTGATTAATGTTTGGGCAGCCATTTTTGAGAATTGCGAGATGTAATGCAACATCTGGATTAAATTGTCTCAATTCAGATTGCAAAGCAAATTATAGGTTTGCAAACTACATATATTATTCTGATACTAAAGACACATGATACATAGAATAAAAAAATTCACATTCCAATATGTTTATGAAAGGTTGCTTGCTATATCTCATTCTGCATTTTAGGATTTAGTTGAAACACAGACACATATACCTTATTTGCTGATTAATTATGAGCTATACATGTACATATTGTAAATTTCAGTTCATCTATAGACACATTGTATTTGACATTTGTCTTTAAATGTGATTAGATGTAATCATGATAGAATTATGACGAATGATCATTTTATTCTAACTGTACCCTCTTTCTAGTGCTGTATCGTGAAACGTGAAACATGAGATCAATAGAATATTTGTAATTATAACACTCATGAAAGTGTAACTGGAACTGGAAATAATTGGAAAGATAATTAATAATAAAAAAAATAGTAATTTAAAAAAAGAACTAGTTTGGTGTGATAGGGGGGTTAGTTTGTAGTATTTGGAGCAATAGTTAGGATCATATTATAGATTGGAAGTTCTCCATTTGAAAGTGAATTTCATCCCTGTTAAAATCCCGGTTGGTTGGCGTGTTGGCTGACTGGCTTGTTGGCTGACTGGAAGGCTGGCTGGCTGACTGACTGGCTGGCTGATTGGCTGGCTGGCTACATGTAGCTTAGCATTATCATTGAATTGCTTTTTGCGCTATCTGCTATGGCTCGGTTGAAAGAATGCAATGAAATTACCACCCAAATATCCATGAAAACAATTCCAAGTTTCTTTTTTATATCATAATTTTTCATTGTTTTTTCATGTAAAACAGAAGAAAGTACTTTAATCGGATAAAGGATATGTTTGTGTCACTCTCCATGATCAGTTTTGTGACTTTGCTTCTCCCCTTAGTTTATTTTAGGGTGGGAGGGTGGTTGAATGTGAAAATATATAATGGTTTCAGAATGCCTTTATGGACTGTTATGTCTAAGAAACTATTCATTGGAATCACTCCATATAAGACATTATGCATGCTTGAAATGGAATTCTACATTAGAGTTAAATAAAAGTATGCTGTATGAGTAAATAGATGTGACAATAGTAGTCAAAAGGTCTAATATTTGGCTTGGTT